ACTAGGAATTGACCTGCTGGCATGGGAAAAAAAAAAACAAAAAACAACAAATGTTTTCCATAGCAAGAGAGATTATTAAAACATTTTACAGGACAAACATTCCTTTTAACTTAAGGAACTTTGATTCCTTCACAACACATTACTGATTTTAGAATTATATGACTACACATATCAAATTACTTCTGTCAGACTAGACACACCATTGAGTATGACAGAAAGACAACAACCTTGCCACTTCTGTGACTGCCACAAAACAGGAGGATTCCTGTGCAGACTACTGATTCCAAGTGAGAGAAGACAATGATCCAAACTGCTCTGAAAAGGGGACTCTGATTCTACAGAACTCTGACTGCCTACAAAGGAAACTGCTCGCTTCGGGAGCTTGTAGTGTCACTACTGCTTGGTCCCAGTTTGGCTCTGTGTTGTTTCATTCAATTCCCTCATGCCTCACTACTGCAGGTCCTGTTATGTTGTTATGGACAAAATATTCAAAAGAAAATACAGAGACCAAAGTGAAAGACCTTAATACTCAGCTAGGAGCATCCTTCTGACCAAGTGTGAGAGCTGTGTGCTTGTAATGCAGACAAACCAGAAGAGAAGGGAAGCAACACTCCCTGACGAGAACATGACTGTTTGGCACACACTGATCATAGGTTTTCTCTGTGTGCCCTGTTTCCTGCCAGGTGGATTCCCAGAGAAGCAGACATACCTTCTCCCAGGCATGACACTGCTGGCAGAGGATCTTATTAAAGGTTTTCGAAGCGGGGAATGCTGATAGCTTTGCTCTTCACTGCCTTGTCTTCCTTCATCTTCCCCTGCTTTCTTATCCTTGGATGAAAATTCTCTTTTTGCTGGACCTGAAATGACACATAAACATGAAACCTGCCAAGCAATTTAAGCAACACCTCTTTTTGGCCCCTTGGGGGTGGGGTGGTGAGCAGTTTGTTTAAACAAAAATACTATTGGAGAATAAAACTTAAGAGTCAGTCATGCATACAGAACTTCCAGGACAACTTGCACTAGGAGCTGCACCAAGTTAAGTTTCTATCAATTACTATCAGAGTCACTGTTCTATGAAGAGTATTTTTCAATAAAATACCACTTATCAATAACGCCAATTGTCAGCAGATTGTCAGTAAATGAAGTCTGATCATCATCCAAATTCTCTCAGGTTTGGGATATAATCCACAGGTCAGAACTCCCTACAGGATACAAAATCCATTTCACCTGGGTAAATCACAATTCCCCGTGCTCCTCCTGAAGCATTTTAATTACTTAGGTACTCAAGCTCAGACTAAGGTCGGCACAAGTTACGCTCACACCTGCAGGAAGGGGAAATTTCTTCTCCCAGGAACAATTTTTAAAGCAGTTGGATTTCTTAAATCCTCTCAGAATAGTTATTTTAGAATGCTGCCAGGGATGTAACACCACAATAAAATGACAAGGGCAAAGAGGCAGCCCTAGAGCTGCTGCTTTAAGATGTTAATTCTCAGGGAGACAATTCTGCAGTTGTTTTCTGGAAGGCAAGTCTGTGGCTGGTCAAAGCTGAAGTGAACCCTTCATATGCTGCAGGTGAAGTGCATCCCCAGGCTGGGATCAGGTACACATGCTGCATTCATAAAGCTAAAGAAAGGGAAGCACTTGACAATTCCAGTGTTTGCCTGGGGATTAACAACCTCCTCCTAATCCCAAACAGGGTCTGCAATCAAGGTTTCCCAATTCTAAATTCTGTAGGTTGTTCTCTTTTTTGGTTCAAACAGAGTCTAACTGTTGATACACATAACAGCAACCTCAGCAAAACAGACACTCAGCTCCAGGGTACTCCTTATCTTGGTTCTCAGTTCATGGTCTGAGGCAGACAGCAAAGCATTTCAAACTGGGTTTTCTTACACCCCCAAAGAACTCCTACTTCTAGACAGAAGCACAAAGTCAACATCACCATATTCCTGCTGTGCAGCTGCATAAAGGATTTCTAAACTCTCTTCTAAAACTACAGTCATTTCAGGTGTCTTCAGTTCTTCTGTATGGCTGAACAGCATTTTGCTTCAGATCAAGCAACAGGTTTTAGACAACGTGAATTTAAGAGAGAAACAGTGCAATTTTCAACCATGATATCTCCTACTAGAGATAATTTTGATATCATTCTCACTACATCAGGAAAAGGGAAGAGCAGCTAGAATGCTATTTACCCATCACCCAGTAATCTGGAAACAGACTTACTCGTCTTCTTCTTTTGCCAAAATGTTACTATGTCTTTGTGTAACTCTTTCGCTTTTTTCCTGGCAAGAGCTGCAGAGGCCTGAAAGAAAACCAAAGCAGAGCAAGAAAACCTATTGATACCACAACAACAAAACTCACAGCACAGCAAGAGAAACATTGCCAGAGAAACGTTTACCAATTCCCACAAAATTCTGGTTGCTGCATTTTAGCCTCTCACTTAAGAACAATCAGCTGGACTAGTCCCGTCCCCGTCCCCCCCCAAAAAATAGTGCTTTTCTAAGAGCTACAGCAAATTTAGGGCACTTGAAACCAAAGGTGTGTTTTTAAGCACAAAATAGAATCAGATCATGCAGTCTCTGAACTGGCTGCTTAACACACCTCAGTGCTGAGACCCGAAAGACCATCCAGTCCCACCCCCTACCAAGGGCAGGTACATCTTTCACTAGCTCAGGTTGCTCCAAGCCCCACCTAACCTAACCTTGAACACTTAGAGGAATGGGGCAGCCACAGCAACCTGTGCCAGGGCCTCACCACCCTCACAAGGAAAAATTTCTTCTTAACATCTAAGTAATATAAAAGTAACTCCTCTTTTACTTTAAACTGTTTGCCCTTGTCCTCTCCCTACCTGCTGTCCCCGTAAAAAGTCACTCTCTCTCTTTTCTGTAAGCCACCTTTAGGTACTGGAAGAGGTTCTAAGGTATCCCTGGAGACTCCTGCACGCTGAATACTCCCAACTCTTGTGCCGTCCACTTCTGATACTCACGTGATCAAAAAAGTGAAGAATGGCCATTTTCTTATTACGCCTGGTCATGACGCGCCGGACTTTTACGAACTGGCCAAAGTGCTTCTCCAGCACAGTCCTGTCGTTGAGGTAATCAGGGATGTTCTTGCACTGGACGGCCGTCAGCTCGGCGGCAGGCAGGCCCCCCAGCCCCTCCGTGCTCTCGCCGCCGCGGGTCCGGCGGGCGGGGGCGGCGGGGGCCGCATCTGTGACGGGAAGGAACACGACGGCAGTCAGAAAGAGGGGTGACAGCACTCAGAAAGCGGGGCTACCCCACCACCATCCCCGTTCACCTTCCCGGGGGAGCTCCCGGGCCTCGGCCGGCGGCGGCTCCTCCGCGGCTCCGCGCTCGGGCTCCGCGCCGTCCCCGCGCTCGCGGTGCTCGCGGGCCTGGCTGCGCAGCATCTCCTCCAGCGTGCGGCCGAACAGGGCCCCGCCGCGGGACCGGCTCAGCACCACCGGCCGCTTCTCCGGCGGCGCCGCCGCCCGCCCGCCCGCCGCCGCCCGTCGCGGGGAGCGCTCCCGCTCCTCCTTCCGCTTCAGCCCCTTGGCCGCCGGCTCCCCCAGCTCCTCCGGTAGCGCCCGCGGACCCCTGTCCTCCGGCCGGCCCAGCGCGGCAGCGGGCCGCAAGAACGAGAAGGGTTCCCGCGCCACCGCCGCCTCGGGGCCCGGTTCGGGCGCGAAGCCGAAGGGCGTCGAGAAGGCGAAGGCGGCGGGAGCGGCCGGGCCCTTCTCCGCCTCGCCGCCCGGCACCGGCTTGAAGGGGGCGGCGGCGGCGCTCTCGGGCGCCTTGAAGCGGAACTCGGGCGCCGCGAAGGCCCCGCCGCCGCCACCCGGCGCCTCACCCGGGCCTGGGAAGCCGCCCAGGCTGGTGGGCGGCCTAAAGCTGAACTCCGCGTTCCCTGCCGGGGCCGGCGCCGGGCCCAGCGCGTAGGGTGGCCCAAAGGAAGCGGTGGGCCCGGGGGCGAAGGGGAGGCCGGCGGGGCCGCCGCCGCCGCCCTGGCCGAACACGGCGGATTGCCCGAAGCGCAGCGGCGGCGGGAAGGCGGGCGGGCCGCGGAACGAGCCCCTCGAGGACATGGTGGACGCGGCCGCCCCAGACCGCCGAAACAGCTGGGGGCGGGGGGGACGGGCCGCGCATGCCTAGGACAGGACGCGAATAGGAGCGGTAGGCAGTTGACCGAGGGTGCGGTTATATGGGCGGGGCTACGGTGGTGGGCGGAGCGATAGGCGGTGTCTCCGGGAGTGGGCGGGATCTCGATTGGTTCGCGGGGCGGTGGGCGGGGCTCCGGTGCCGCCATGAGCGTGGTGCTGCGGAACGCTCAGCGCTCCGTGCCCGTGCGCCGGGCCCCGCTCCGCCGCGCTGTATGCGCCCTGCGCGCCGCCCTGGGCGCCTCCCGCTTCGATGTGGGGCTCGTCTGCGCCGGCAACGCGCTGATGCAGCGTCTGAACGGCGCCTACCGACAGCGCCCGGAGCCCACCGACGTCCTGTCCTTCCCGTTCCACCAGGTGGCGGCGGGGGAGTTGCCGCGGCCGCGCTGCCGCGGCGAGTACAACCTGGGGGACATCTTCCTGGGCGTGGAGTACATCCACCAGCAGTGCCGCGACGCCGGGGAGGACTTTGAGGGCGTGCTGGTGGTGAGCGCCGGGCGGGCGGGCGGGCGGGCGCGACCGGTCAGTCACACAGCGCGCTGTGCTCTCCCCCCGCGCAGGTGACGGCAGCCCACGGACTGTGCCACTTGCTCGGCTACCGGCACGACACGAAACCCGCGTGGGAGCAGGTGCGGAGCGCGCCGGGGGAGGGCGCGGGGGGCGTGCGCGGTCCGGGCTGGCGCGGAGCGAAGCCCCCGCTAACTAGGGGCTCTCCCGGCGGCGCTGACCGCGGCTGCTCCCGCAGATGTACCAGAAGGAAGCGCAGATCCTGGAGGAGCTGAACCGCCTTACTGGCTCCCGGCTGCGGCCCCTCACCGCCGGCCTCTTCTGAGGGACCGCCCCGGACGTGGCGTGGAGGGGATGGCGGCGCAGGGGCCCCGTGGCCGCCTCGCCTCGTCGCTGCCGCGGCTGCTGCTCGGCCTGGCCGCGCTCGCCGTGCCGCCGCCGCCCGCCGCCGCCCCCGAGCCGCCGCCCGCCGCCCTCCGCGCCGGCCACGCCGCCTCCTCGCTGCCCGCCGCCGCCACCGCCCCGCGCACCAGGTGAGCGCCGCCGGACGCCGCCGGGGAGAAGCGAAAAGCCTCCAACAAAGCCTTTTAAGCGCTAATTTAGTCCGTGTTCCTTGGTCCTCTTACCATTCTTCCTCAGGCAGAGGGTTCCCAACTATCAGGCTGTAACGTCGTTGTTGATCTTCTCTGTGTTTTCTGGTTACTCCGACATGTCTTTAGTGGACCACAAATCTAAGATCCCCGATGTCCAATCTTCACCTCCCTCAGGCTTTTGTTTATTGAAGCTTATTGGAGCTAGTCCAGAGAAACTCAAAGCTTCAGTGGTTTAAAGAGCAAACTGTCAAGAGTCTGTGCAAAGAAACCTAGCCACCAGCTGCCATTAATTAAAATTTAGGAAAGTTACAGTATTTCTAACGTGAGAAGTGGCAGCACCACTGGCCCCCACCGTGTCCAGCCCCAGGTCGATCCTGCCCACCAGCATCACATGCCCCTCATGTCTCCCGAGGGGACATGGTGGGTCCCTTGTGCAGGTGACCCGCTGTGTCTCTGAACCGTGATTTGGTAAAGGGCCTCCTTCACCTGCTAGTGCTTTTTTGGGTCGTTTCTGGAAGATGTCGTCAAGGGAACCCACCAACTGCCAGTTGCACCCTTTTCCCCTGCTCCTCTGGAACGTGTCCTCCTGCCTTTATGTTCATCTCACACGAATTAGCCTGGGTAACACGCCAGTAGTTTCACTGTTCTCACCACACACCACGTTGCTCTCAGGGTGAGCAAGACGTCTGAGGGGTTCTCTCCTTGGCCCGCCACATCCTGCCCCACTGCAGGAAAGGCTCGTGGCATGTGCCACCTTGATGATGCCCCGTGAGGAGAACACAGTGGCCCTCCCAGCCCCTGCAGCACACGCTGCTCTGCCTTCCCTTACTTCTTCTCCTTCCACCTTCTGAGTGCCACAAACTCACGAAAGAGGAACAGTTTCCATCCCAACAGAGTTTGCATCATGTGATCAGGGGGTAAATGTAGACCACGTAAAAGTTTCGAGCTCATCCCCAAAGTAATGGCATTCCTTTGTTTTCCCCAGATACCTTTTGTACGATGTAAATCCCCCTGAAGGGTTCAACCTTCGCAGAGACGTCTACGTTCGCATTGCTTCCCTTGTAAAGACCCTGCGGAAAAGTGAAAACTGGGTGTTAGTCCTGCCTCCTTGGGGGAGGCTTTATCACTGGCAGAGCCCCGATATCCTTCAGGTCCGGATCCCTTGGTCTGAGTTCTTTGATATCCCAAGCCTCAACAGGAACATCCCTGTCATTGAATATGAGCAGTTCCTTGCAGGTGGAGTATAGGATCATGCAGTTCTACAATTGACTAAATGTTTCCGATGGTTTCTTCACAGGTTTGTCCTTATAGAGGGCTTTTAGCCTTACATGTGAAATAATAAAAAGGTTTGAGGGGGTGAGAGAATGGCTGGGAAGGAGTTTTACTGAGTTACAAAACCGCTAGGATGAAATAATCCAATTATTTCGCAACTTCTTTGATGTCAACTTCCTATGGTCCCCAGAGACAGACAGTTAACACGTGTGGTTAAATTCAGAGATTTCTGCCTGGTTTTGACCATAGATTTGCACTCCCATGGTCACACCGTTGTGTTTGGCACATTACATCATACAGAGCTGGGTGGGAGTAGCAGGTGGTCACATTGCCTGACCCTTTCAACTTTTCTGGCTCACACAGAATTTATTTTCCATTTTTTAGAGAGAAAGCAGGGAAGAGAGAGGAGTGTCATACTGGCGTTTCTAGCAGGTTTTTAACTGCAAGTGATGCTAGTTCATACCTTTCTCGTGTGGGTTTTCATGCTCACAAATCCTTTGCTTTGCCTTCTGCTCAGAGTCAGGTGGGCCCTTTATTGAACAGATTTATGTGCTACAAGGCTACGCAGAAGGATGGAAAGAAGGAACATGGGAAGAAAAAATCAATGAAAGGCCATGCATTGATCAGCTGATGTATTCTAAGGACAAACACGAGTACTACAGGTAACATCTAGCAGTCCTTTTGATCTTCTTTTCAGTGGTATTCAGTGAGACAGTTGCCTGCTTTTAACAAAATAGACTGGTGTGGTTGTTGCAATGTTATCTGTGAATCCCTGAATGCTCGGGGTTCACGTTTTTTAAAAAAAAACATAAATAATAAGGTGTATTGATATGAGAAAATCTAACTTTAGAAACTTGTTGTTCCACACAAAAACGGTAAAAAGGAGGTGGCTGGTTTGCTGGCATTATATATTGTCTTTATAGGATGTACTGTTTATTATTTTTGTTATGTATATGACGTTAATTTAAAATACACGCCTGTGAACCAATCCTTGGTGTTCCCTTTTAGGGGCTGGTTCTGGGGTTACGAGGAAACACGAGGCCTAACCGTCTCTTGTTTGTCTGTCCAAGGATCTGCTTCCATTGTGGCGCCCATCCTTCTGAAGAACACTTCAGCGCAGTGAGTTGCCTTGTCTTACTATTTATTGTTGTCTTGTGTGCCCACAAACCTATTGCCAGGTGTGAAGAGCAGGGGGAACTTAAAGGCTGCATCCCACTGTTGTGCTACTTCATCGCTGAGTTGCTGAAAACCATTGAAATCATTACAGAAGGGATTTACACTGTCAGAAATGCTTAACTGTGAATTCGGTGAAGTGCTACAGCGCTAAAATGTAAGAGGAAATAGCCTTTAGCGCCTTTAAATTCTCTCTCAGGTAGCTAAATGTCCTTGCCATCCTGTGTTTGCCTTTCCTTTCTTTACTCTTTACGTGGTGCTGGGTCAAGAGGGAATAAACAGAGTGGAATCGGTGTTTCTCAGGCCGGGATCTCAGATGGTGAGGTGCAGTGCCTGGTCTCCTGTGGCATCCATCCTCAGTGCTGTGAGCTGGGTTTAGAGAAGGCAAGCAGCAAGTTTCGTCTTTCTGATGAGAGCAGTGGGGATCTGTAGTACCTCCTACGGGGAGCAGAGGAAGCAAAGTGCTGTTTTTTTAACAGGAATGTTCTTCTGTTGTAGGAGTTCCACCTTAATCCTGGCCAGTGGCAGCACGGTTCCCTTCTCCCTCCAGTGGGCTGTGGGTCACAATTTGCCTTCTAGAGAACAGATTGGCAGCTTGTCCCTCATTCCCTGTGCTCCCTTTGCAAACAGATCATAGCCTGTGCTTTATCCTAGCAAATGTATAAACACATGGTATAATGTAAATTCTATTCCTAAGGGAACTGCACGCAGTTTTACCATTTTTAATAGGTCAGTGATGTTAGACAGAGCTGAAAACCTTCTTCATGACCACTACGGAGGGAAAGATTACTGGAATGTGAGTATTTTTCAGTTAGCTTCTCTGGACTTTTTACTTGCCTCTGCTAAATATTCAGTAACCTCTGTGAGCTTGAGTTTTGCCTCAGGTTTCTTTTCTTGGAAGTAACTTGTGTCTTATGTTTCAGCAAGATGTGCTAGAGATGGTCCTCAAGCTGCTGTGGATTAATGTAACACAGGAGTTTGTCCTCTTTTGTCCCTAAAGACCCAGTGCTGCAGGGCATGGTGTTTAGAAGGCCCTCCCCTGTACAACACATCTACAATCAGAGGGGAGCAGTTCTTGTTTAGTCAACCTCAAGGTTAGACTTTTCAAAAGAATTCCCAGAAGTGCTCAGTATTGTCCCAGCTCTCTCCCCATCATCTTCAATGGCAAAATTCCCACGGGTTTCAAGGTAACTGGTCACCTCCCAAGGGTGTATGGTAAAGTAATTCCTATGCTCAAAGCTTTAAGAAAAAGTTAAGGCTTAGCCACAGGAAAATTATGTGGAGTGCTTGATATAATTAAAACTGTTAAGAGAAAATGACTCATATAATACTACAAAACAAGTTACACAGACCTCAGTCTTGTAAGATGTGAGCATCTGGCTATTCACTTGGGATATAGCATATTTTTCAGAAATGGACCAAACAGTAGTTTTCTAACCTTGTACTTTTCATTGAGAGTGACTTTCCAAACAGAGAAATGCAGCCCACAGATCATTTTTGAGTCTGACTTGTAGTCCTGTAAAAGCAGACCTGAAATCCACATGGATCCATAACACACATTCTTAGCAGTGGCACTTTAAATGTTGCCTCAGTGGGTTTGCCTCATGTCCAAACAGAAAGTCACTCACTGCAGCTTGGGCCCAGGGCCTCTTCTCTTTCCATACCCCTCTGAGAAGCATCTCTCCCTTCTCTGTTTCTTTGCAGACAAAAAGGGAGAAATATGGAAAGAGTGGCAGTATCAGACATGTAGATTTGAAACACATTCTTCTAAGAGAAGGGGAGCCAGGTACAGAGAGCACACACTTCCTGAAGTGTATCAGTGGAGCTCACACATTCACCTGTTATCTCTTTTACACATGCTGTTGCAAAATAAGTGTCCACACAGACCAGCTGCTGTCAGGGGAGTGGTTTGTGCTTGGGAGAGGCTCGGCACAGCAATACTGCCTGGGTGCCAAATGTGGTGTGGCAGTCACACAGTCCAACAGGATGAAGCTCAGACATGTTTGACACAAGCATAGCATCCAAAGATGTTCATTGCCCTGCACTGCCATGGGTTTGCTGCCTCTTGGGCATACCATTCATCACACCTCAGGGAAGGTATCCCATGACCTGACTCGACAGGGAGGAAAAATCTCACTTTGAACTGCAGCATGAGTGTTCTGCAGCAGACAGCGTGTACATCCTCCCTGATGTCAGTGTTTTGCTGGAGGATTTGGGATGGAGTGAAACCACCCCAGCTGGCAACCAAACCTCAGGCAGCTGCTCGCTTACTCCCCCACCAGCAGGATTGAGAATTGGAAGGGTAAAAGCTGGAAAATTCATGGGTTGAGATAAAGACAGTTTAATGGGGAAAGCAGAAAAGGCCTGGAGTCTTTTTGTTGCATTTCTTTGGTGCCCATCAGACGATAGACTTGCATAAAATGAAGAATTAGGCCAAACTGCCAAGTGTCCTCTGTAAGCAGCGTAAGTGCTGGGATTTCCTTCATTCTGTTGTGTGTGCCTGTTAATAAAAGGGCTATATATGACTGTGTGTAATGGTAACTGCATCACAGGAACTTGGAAAGGGTTGTTATCCATAGGTTAAGGACATAACCCTTTTTTTGTCACTTTTCCACTGAATTTGACAGGAATGTCTGTGGCTAGATGCTTAATTTTTTTTAAAGCAGGTTTTATTCTTACACGTGTTTTGCAAACTAAAGTCTTTGCCCAGCTTTTGTTTCCAAAAGTGAGGTGCATTGCTAGAGTGTTTAATTTGGTATATTATGTGTTCTGTTGTGTAAGTAACTGAAGTCTACTCCCTACACCTGTGTGTTGCAGGGGCAGTTGAGCGTGCTGGTTATAAATGTGATTGTAATTAGAATTAAACAGTTATGTCTCGGATGAAAGGTTAGAAATTGTTGCTTATATTGCTGCATGGACGTGCCAGAAGTTACCACATTCTGAAGTGCTGTGTATGTGCAGCTTTCTCCATTTCTCATTTTTAGCTCTCCCTTTTTCTGACTTGGCCTCTGTTCTTATTCCCCCAGACCCGTCGGAGCATGGTGTTTGCTAAACACCTCCGTGTGGTGGGAGACGAGTTTAGAAGGAAGTATCTTCAATCCACGGATGAGGCAGACAGGACTCATTACAAGGAGGACTGGACACAGATGAAGGTAAAATCATGACAGTCTGTTTCCCATAAGAAATGTAATTTTTACTTCATTTGTGTACTCCTGGCTATGTGCTGCAGGGCGTGTTGGAAGACACAGGTGAGTCTAACTCTCCTGCTCACACCAGGGCAGACAGGCATGTTCCTTGTGCACCTTCTCCCCATGTGCCATGAGTTAACGGAGTCTGTTGAGGGGTGCCTGGTTCTGGGTGTCAGATCTTTGCTGCCCTCATTTCGGTAAAGGAAACTTGAATTGCTTCTTGCATTCAGCGTCATGAGTGGGTGGGAAGTTCAGCTGCAAACTGCCAGCTGAGGATTTATTTGGTCAAGGAGAGCATTTTTTGCTTACAAAGACTTCATGCTCTAGTTTCTCTTGTGTGATGCAGGCCATCCAGAGATCAAAACGTTGCAACGAGTGTCCCAAACTACTCCCAGTCCTTATTTTGAAATTTCTTTCTGCAACTAGAGTGATTCAGTGCCTTATCCAGAGATGATGCATTCTGGCCTTTTTGGTGTGAATGTATAGTGGCGCTCTCAAGTTTTAAAGTTTAGTGGTCTTTCTCTCGTAGGTTAAGACGGGCACAGCTCTAGGTGGTCCATACCTTGGGGTTCATCTCAGAAGGAAAGACTTCATTTGGGGTCACAGAGAAGATGTGCCTTCCCTGCAAGGAGCAGTAAAGAAAATCCGCAGCCTCTTGGAGATGCTTAAACTTGAAAAAGTTTTTGTAGCCACTGATGCTGTCGAGGAGGGTAGGTAGATCCCACTCACTTCAGGATTGATAACTTCTGACAATGAGTGCTGCCATTACCACTTCACTTTTATAAATGACTGGGATCAATGCCTCCATCACCGAATGGGAATTGAGCAGGTCTGGACAGCTGTATCCTTCCAGCTTGAGAAGTTGGTATCAAACCATTCATTTAGTATTTCCCATGGAAGGTTTGACAGTCTCTACAGTGGGGAATCGTGAGTTGAATTTGCCTATTCCTTCTCCTCTTTCTTCCATCCCACATTTTCTCTGGTAGGAAGGGTCCTCTGAAGTCTCCCACCCAGCCTTCCCCTTGGCTGCCCCTGGCTATGTGTGGCCAAGGCTTAGAAACCCACAATGGTGGGCTTTCCCCCACCAGTCCTTATCCCAGGGCTGCACTCCCATCCCAGTAGTATCGAGGGATCTGTTTCGATACATGATGTTAGAATAACTCTGCAAGGCATGGCACCTGCAGCCTTAAGTTTGCTGCCAAGAAAGGCCTCTCGGTACACCTGCCCTGTAGTGAGGCTAATGGGACTAATCTGTTCTTGCAGACTTCCCCGTGTCCTCAGAATTGGCCCCCTCAGCACTGTGATCCTGCCCCACCGGTTCCCCTCCCCACCCACCATTCTGTGAATTACTGTGTTGTAAAATCTCTCAGTGGATTTTGGTGTCACTTGCTTTGTAACTCTTCACCCAGGGTTTTCTTAGACACATCACGTGACAGCAGCGGGTTGTTCTTCATAATGTCAAGATAAAATTGTGTCTTTCCTTTTCTCAGAGATTGAATTGCTCAAGAAACTGCTGCCTGAGATGGTGAGGTTTGAACCCTCTTGGGAGGAGCTGGAACTCTATAAGGATGGGGGCTTGGCCGTGATTGACCAGTGGATTTGTGCACATGCAAGGTAGTGAACCTGACTTTTTATTTAAGGAGCCAAATCTTAATGTCACTGTCACAAAACTGAATATGATTTTTGGCCCAGCTGTAGTTCTTTACAAATCATATAAGATATATAATTGCGATGTATATAATAGATGTATAATAGTTATATTGTGTATAGAGATGATGATCATTTCATTATTGTATCATTTCAATGAACAGTAAAGTTGGTCCCCCTCACAAACCCTTTCTGATCTTTTTCACAGGTATTTTATAGGCACCTCAGTTTCAACATTTTCCTTCCGAATCCATGAGGAAAGAGAGATCTTGGGATTTGACCCAAAAACAACTTACAACCGATTTTGTGGTGAAACAGAGAAAAACTGTGAGCAGCCAACTCACTGGAAAATTGTCTATTAAATACAGAGAAATACAAGGGCTTCAGTAATCATAGAATCAGCTGGGTTGGAAGGGACCTCCGAGATCATCAAGTCCAACCCTTGATCCGCTACTGCTGCGGTTACTAGGCCATGGCACTAAATGCACATCCAGTCTCTTTTTAAAAATCTCCAGGGACGGAGAATCCACCACTTCCCTGGGCAGCCCATTCCAATGGCTGACCACCCTCTCTGTAAAGAAATTCTTTCTAATATCTAACCTAAACCTCCCCTGGCACAGCTTAGACCGAGCCCTCTTGTCTTACTGATAGTTGCCTGGGAAAAGAGACCAACCCCCACCTGGCTACACCCTCCTTTCAGGGAGTTGTAGAGAGTGAGGAGGTCTCCCCTGAACCTCCTCTTCTCCAGGCTGAACAGCCCCAGCTCCCTCAGCCTCTCCTCATAGGACTTGTGCTCAAGTCCCTTCACCAGCCTCATTGCCCTCCTCTGGACCTGCTCCAGGACCTCAATATCCTTCCTGAACTGAGGGGCCCAGAACTGGACACAGTACTCCAGGTGTGGCCTCACCAACGCTGAGTACAGGGGAAGAATCACTTCCTTGGACCTGTTTGCCACACTGTTCCTGATACAGGCCAGGATGCCGTTGACCTTCTTGGCCACCTGGGCACACTGTTGGCTCATGTTCAGCTTCCTATCAATCCAAACTCCCAGGTCCCTCTCTGTCTGGCTGCTCTCCAGCCACTCTGTCCCCAGCCTGTAGCACTGCTGGGGGTTGTTGTGGCCAAAGTGCAGGACCCGGCACTTGGCCTTGTTGAACCTCATCCCCTTGGAATCAGCCCAACTCTCCAACCTATCCAGGTCCCTCTGCAGAGCCCTCCTGCCTTCCAGCTGATCGACACTCCCCCCCAGCTTAGTGTCATATTGTGAGAGCTCAAAAGAATAAGGAAGAACTATGGGGAAATACCTCCCTTGGACCAAACTATGATGCAGCCCTGTACTCTCAGTTCCTGCTCCCCTTCCAATAGGAAGAGTGCGACATGGGGGGGCTGTACTGCTCAGTCACTCTCTGTCTCTGGACCTCTCAGCATTTTTACGTGGTAGCCTCCTGGGGCAGAGGCAGCTTCCTCGCTCCTGGGGCAGACCTCCCTCTTGGCTGCTGCACATGGGTCCCCTCTGGAGCTGTGGAGCTGCGTGCTGGGAGGTGGCAAAGCAATGCCTGGGATGCAGCTCTTTAAACCAGATTCACCTACTGGAGCATTTCTTACCTGTCCATGGTTCCCTGTGAGGGTCCACAGTCATTTTTAGATAGAAGGACAGGAGAGCTCTTGTCCATGTCCCAGGGTGTGCTCACCTTGGGAGCACACACTCCAAGAGGAACCGAGCTACCACAGGAATCAAGGCAGGCAGGGACTGCTCCTGCTCCCAGGGAAGAGTCTGCAGCACCCACCCCTTGGGTACTCACCTTCCGGTGAGGGCACATTGCCCGACAGAGAAAGAGGTTGGCGCCTGGTGGAGCAGGGCCAAGGTGCTACTCTCCTGAGGCAGCTCTCTCTGCCTCACACAGCAGAGTCTCCATGGCCAGGCTGCAGGAGCTCGGTGCATTCAGCACATGCAGCTGGAAATCAGGCACGGCTGCTCTCCCTCTCGGGAGGTTGGTTCAGGACCTGAGATTTCCACTGGTTTGTTTCCACAAAGGAAAGAGACACAAGGGAATACCTTTGCTGCAGTGCTGTGCTCAGAGTCAATCAGCCTCCACATGGTCATGACAGCTCTATGGGCCCAGAGCTCTGGCTCAGCAGGCTCTGGGCCACAGCCCCATGGCCTGGGCAGCCGTGGGGGCCCAGGCTGGCCCACAGCCCTGCCCCTGCCCCTGGCCGACAGAACCCAGCGGACGTGCCCCGCCAGGGACCCCTTGCCCTCCTTGTCCCCAGCCAGGCCAGCCTGGCCCCCTTGGCGCTGTCCCCACCCTCCCGCCCAGGCCTCCAGCCCTTCTGCCGCAGGCACGGCAGACGCCCCGGGCAAGCGCCACAGCAGCCGGCCAACACCTGGGCAGGACACAGATGGCACTTCCTGCCTGGGACAGGGCTTCTGGCCATCTCCAAGGACCTTTGGCTCAGGGATCCCCACAGCTCCAGCCTTTGCCCAGCTGCTCTGCTGCAAGCTTGGAGGCTTCAGCACAGCACCACCAAAAGCCAAGAGGACTTAGGGCTCTTTCTCTTCTCACTGAACACCTGGGCAAGCGTTGCTGAGCACAAGGACCCTTTTTCCCCTCTTCCCCAATGCCCTGTGCAAACTGGGCACCAAAAAACACTTCTGAGCTTCTGTATGTGACAAGAGGAATTTTATATTCCCATGCTGGGGTAAAGGAAAGTGCCTGAAGAGGAGGGGTCTTCCTTGCAGGCTCACGTGGCCCCAGCAGACACCGCTTCCCACATCAAGCCTCCCCAGAGCTCAGGCAGCACAGCCACAAACTGCCCCGCAGAGCAGGACAGCTCTTGCAGGCCCCGCACAGCCAGTCTGGCGGCTGCTGCAGTCTGGAGGATGGAGCTCTGAGCAGCTTCAATCACATAGCAGCTCTGACGCGCCAGGCTTGAGATGTCAAGGCTGGTGTCATTCCGCATACGCTGAAGGGGTGCAACAGGGAGGAACAGAGCCAAGGTCAGAGCCTGGATCTGTGGCGACCCAAGAAGCTCCTCCAGCCAGGGCCATTTCACCCAGTTCTTGCCATGGCCAGGAGGGAGCAGGGCCCAACGGGATCAGCCGGAAGGCGCTGGCCACCAATACCCCCCGTGCCCCTGAAATCTCTCTCCGCTCTGCCCAAGCTGTCTCTCATCCGTGCAGGGAGCAGAGCCCTCCACAGCCGGGACAGGATTGCAGCTCCCTGCCCAGGCTCCGTGCTCCTCCCGCCAGCCCCCGCTGACACCGCGCTGCCCTCACTCACTCTCGATGATGTCCTGCAGCTCTTCAGGCTGTCCCCGCACGTACCTCCCGGCCATCCCTGGGAACACAGATCCTGTCAGGGCCCCAGCGGCACAGCTCCCCCCCGCCGGCGCTGCCGGCCCGGCCACGCACCCTCCTGCCCTGGCAGAGCTGAGCCCGGGGCCGTCCCGCCTCGGGACGCCCCAGGGCTGGGCTGGCACAGGGCGGCAGCCACCAGGGCACTCGGGGCTCCCCAGCACATCCCTGGGCCGCATCCTGCTGCCGCTGCAGCAGCCGGGGCTGGGGCCCAGCTGCAGCGGGGCGGGGAGGGACCTTGTGGCTCACCCATGAACCTGAGGGCCGCCTCTCGCAGGGGCTCCTGTGGGCTCTCCAGGTATGGCAAAGCCTGGCGCAGGTACTCGGCCACTCGGCTCCAGTCTTTTTCCAGCTGGAGAGAGCAGCAGGGCATGGAGGGAAGAGTTGGCTGGGGCTCTGCCCCTTGGCCGGGAGCTGCCTGCGCCCAGCACTGGCCTCCCCTGCCCGCACGCCCCAGGCAAGGCAGCAGTGTGTGGGGTGCAGGCTGCTGTCCCGCAGGCGGCTGCAGCAGTGGGCAGGGGCACAGTGCCAGCCCCACACTCTGAGCGTCGGGGACTGGGGGCTGCTCCAGCCTGGGGCTGGGGCTTCATGGCCGTCCTTACCAGGCACTTGCTGAACTTCCACAGCTCCTTCCTCTTCACTACCTTCTTCAGGTCCTTTCTCTTCAGGAAGCCGGCCACACAAAGCAGCGCTTCCCCAGAGGCCTGCAGAGCAACAAGCACTGGGAGATGGCACCACGGCCCAGGGCAAAGGACCCGTGTCCCTGGAGCAAGGCCAGCAGGAGGCTGGAGCCCATCAGGTGCCAGGGCAGGAGGCAGCCCAGCCCCCTGCCACGGGGACACCAGAGCCCACAAGTGCTCACCTCTGCCACTCTCTGGTTCTCATCGTGGCAGTGGAAGAAGAGTGGAAGCAGGCTCTGGCGCACGTGTGGCTTCAGGGCCTTTTTTCCCTCTTTCTCCCCTGTCACCATCACCCCACGGAAGAGGAGGATGGAGGACAGCTGCACACTGCTGTCAGCCTGGTGGAAATAAAAAGACCTCAGCACTGGCTTCTCCAGGCCCACCTGGGCACAGGCCTGAAAATCCACAAGGCACAAAGTTTCCTGCCAGCACCCGTTGCCTGTGGCTGCGGGGCACAGAGCCTTACGTTGTCGAAGAGCGGCTGCAGCGCCTCAGCCAGCTGCAGGGCGGTGGGGCTGGAGAGCTGGATGTCTTTATCGGAGAACAGAAAGCCGAGGATGCTGACAGTCCTCCGGACCAGCTCTCCATCAGCGTCCCACAGGAGCTGCATGAGGCTTTCAGTCAGGCTGCTGTCAGAGACTGAAATGTTTGATGATTTATGCATTCTAGGAGACTTTTGCAGGCTTTTGACTTGCATTATACCTCTGATGAGCAATCCGGCCCCTCCCTCCCTCCAGTGCTGAAGGTGTGAAGCCCTGAAAAGGCAAGAGCCGAGCTTGCAGGCTTTTGACTGTTGCATTGTACCTCTGATGGCCCATAGGAGCCCATCCCCCCACCTCTGCCAGTCGGGAAAAGGGCGGGAACCAGGTCAGACACAGAAAACTCTTGCACAGAGCCCAGGGAGAGTTTGGAGGCTTGAGGCATGGCCCGTGACACTGACCATGGATATAATAACTCATAACTTCTTGGAGTGTGGGGGCTTCCCTCCTTCCCTCCTTCCCCCCGGCAGATCAAGGCCGCCACTTCAACTGACAGACATGGAAGCTGCAACCACCAAGTTTCATCGCTGGACCCCGTGGGCGGTGACTATAGACATCTGTCCACTCTCAGCTTTTCTCTCCCTTACTCTTATCCTGCCTTTCTCTCCCCTATGCATTTTCTCCCCCCTCAAGGTTATCTCTATGTCACATTGTTATATGACAGCACCTAAAATTCTAGCATACCTGTTGATGCAAAATTGTCCCCTATGCATTTTCTATCTCTATGCCACATTGTTATATAACAACACAGAAATGCTAGCATGCCTGTTGATACAGAATTGTTAAAATAAACCTTGCCAGTATATGTTTTCAGACACCGATTATTCAGTGTCGTTTCACTCTAATCCACCCCAAGGGAATTATTGATAAAAACCTGAGTTACCCCCCCTCTCCCCTTTTCCTGGGGCGGGTCGTAACAGCTTCCCATTCTTTTGGCCTGTGAGGAACACAAGGCTGTGCTGGGAAGCCACGAAGGGCTGCAGCGCCAACCCCGCTCCGGCGGGGCAGCCCCACGTGCTGCCGCGGGGCCCAGAGCCCAAAGGCCTGTCCCGAGGGACTCGGGCAGCTGAGCGGGGAGGCAGCAGAGCTGGCAGCAGCTGTGCTCCCCAGCCCCAGCATTGCAGCGGCCAACCGCCCCTTCCTCACCGTCACGGCATCCTGGCTGAGCACCACCAGGCCCCTCAGCACTTGGCGGCGCATCTCTGGGCACTCGCTCCACAGGTGCCTTGAAAGGATCTGCAGGACGCTTTCGCCGCACTCCCTCACGTCCAGGTAGACCAGGGCCTGAAAGGCACGGAGCGGTGACGGGCTGCCCGGCCGGCAGCAGCCCGCACCCGCACAGGGCTGGGCCCAGGCAGCAGCACAGGGCGCGGCACCGTCCCGGGCAGCCCTGCCCAAAAGCAGCAGTGGCTCTGCAGAGCCCCTGGGCTCCCCGCCCTGCGCAGGCCACTCGCCCGCTCCTCTGTGCCACCCAGCCCTGGCATTCCTTGGCCTTGAGGAGCCATGAGGGAAGCGCGAGTGCTGGCAGCAGAAGGACCCAAAACACAGCTGGGGACAAGTGTCACCCCAGCAGCAAGGGGCCAAGGGCACACAGTGGAGCCCCCCCTCTGCCCCAGCTCCCTTCACTGGGCTTCCCCCGCAGATGCGGCTGCACAAGGCCAGAGAGGTGGAGGCAGCTCGGCCAGGCAGCGCTCGCCATCAGGCTCACCTCCACAAGGAACGCCATGGCAGGGAGCTCCCAGGGACACATCTCCTCGCTGAGCAGCTCCAGGAGGCAGCACACAATGCTGCAACACCAGGGGGTGCAGACAGAGCCCATCTCCCTGGCAGGAGGGAAACAAGAACTGTCATGCCTGAGCTGGCTGGGCAAACCTCTGCCGGGACTCACTCCCAGAGGCCTGGTCTTTCCCCAGCACCCCGGCAGGGGACCAGGGCACTCTGGCAGGCGGCTCCTCCTGTGCACCCGCCTCTCCCAGCCTTTGCCACTCTGCTCGGCCATCCCTGGGTGACAAGGCCCTCCGGCCCATGACCACGGGCACTGCGTGGGGTGTCCTGTGCAGAGGGCAGAAATGACAGGGGCAGCGGGGACAAGGGGGTCTCACCTGGCCAGCAGACCCACTGCGTAGTGGTGGGTGTCGGCGTTGAGGAGCGTGTCCCAGCCACACTTGCGCTCCAGTGCCACCACCACGCTCTCGCAGCGCAGACGGTGCAGCAGGGCTTTGAGGGTCAGCACTGCAAACCTGCGTGCAGAGCAAAGCCCGGGTCATGCTGGGAGCCCTGGCCAGCCCCGAAGGCATGGGAGGGACAGGAGGAGTGGGATGGAGCACCTGTTGGGGTTGGTGGGAAGGCTGCGTTGCTTCTAACATTCCCTCCACAAGGTGTCAACCTCCTCCGGCATCTGCACTGTGCTGAAGAACACTTGGAAGAGCAGATGCACAAAGAGGTTGGGGAAACACTCCCTCACTGCCCGTGTGCAGCAGAGCAGATGGAGGATCTTCCAGAGTGCCACGGTTGCCTGCAAAAAGGAAACCAGCCGGAGACAGCTCTCAGTGCCCGGACATCCATGGGGCAGGGCCCGAGCGTGGCAGGGAGAGGCCGGGGGAGACACAGCAGGAGCAGCCGGCCTGGTGCCCCTGAACCTGCCCCTAAGCCAGCTTGCCAGCCCAGTGCCTGAGGCAGGGAGAGGCAGTGCTGGGGGAGGATGAAGAGCTGCTGGGGAGGTGACGTGGCGCTGAGCAAAGGCCAGTTCCAGAAACTCACAGCAAGCTGGCCAGCTTCCCAGGACGAGGGCGAGGATCGTCAGCACCCACTCTGCAGTAGTTCTCAAGGAGATGATTGCTCTCCACATGCTCACAGCAGCTCTGGGGGGTCAAAGCTCTGTGTCAGCGGGCTCTCAGCCACAGTGCCACGGCCTGGGCACTTCCCGCTCCCAGCTGACAGAGCCACAGCACCCTGAGGAGCAAGGAGGGCACATGGGAGCAGGATCCGTGGCTGGCATGCCAGAGGCTCCGGGAACTCTTGGCCTGACAGACACCTGGGACGGGCTCTACAGGATGATGGGCTGGTGAGCCCTGGAGGCAGAGGGGCCCCATACCTGTCACAGCATGGGGCAGAGCGCAGCAGAGTCACCACCACATCCACGGGGTGTGCCTCGACCAGAGCCAGAAGAGTCCTGTCTAGTCTGCGCTCAGCACACACATTGGCCGTGAGCCACCGGTGGATGTACCTGACGAAGGCTGGCACCTGCAGGGGGCACGGGGCAGACTTGGAGAGCTGCCAGAGCCAGCAACTTGCCCGGCTTCCCCCGACAAGCGCTTCCCTTCCCACCACTCTGGGCTGGCCTCAAAGGCTGAGGGGGCCCAGCGGAGCCGGCGTGAGGGCCCACACAATCCCTGCAGGGCTGGAGCCCTGGCCACAGGCTGCTTACTTTCTCGGCACTGGAGACACCATTCTCCACAAGCAAATCCAGCAGGGCAGCGCTGGTCTCGGCATTGCAGAGGTCAGAGTTTGCCATGCCCCCAGCGCCCATGGCGATGGTCTCTTCCCTCCAAATGCACCTGGTGAATTGGCAAACCATCTGCAGGAGAAAGGCAGGAAGAGAGGGATGTGCCCTGGAGAGCTCCGACAGCGGTGCCAGGCTGAGCAGGGACAGCAGGCCCAGCCCAGGAGGCCGTGGCTGCAGGTACCTGTGCTGCCCTGCAGAAGCGGCCCCGGGCGCGGTCCTGCTCCTGTGTCCGGTCCCGGCCTGGATCTGGCAAAGAGTGAGCGCGGTCAGAGCTGAGGGGCTGCGGGACAGGCCGCAGAACACGGCCCAGCCCTGTGCTCCACAGGCAGGGCCAGCCCCGGGATGGCCAGTGCATGGAGCTGCCAGGAGATCAGCCCCAGGCCCTCCTTCCCCCTCCCTTTCCCCAGCCATGTCCACAGGGGATGGGATGGGATGGGATGAGGCCCAACTGGTTGCAGCTACCTGCCATGTGCCCCAGCTCTGCCACTCACCCTCCTGCAGGGGCTGGAACCACTCCACTCTTTCAGGCTGCCGAGCTGGGGCAGCCCCAGCACCTTCCTTCACCATCTTCATCCCAAACAGGCTAAGGCGTCTCCACACCACTCCACAGTCTGGTGTCAAGGGCAACTGCAACAGAAAAACCTGAGAAAAGCTACTGATCACCAAGTCCCACAGTGGGGCCTTGAGGGCACCAGCAGGAGAGGAGCCATGGAAGAGCTACAGTCTGGTCTCAAGGGCTCTTGCCACAAGGATGGAAGAGTTCTTGTAAAGGCTCCAGGTCAGCAAGTCCTGCGGTTGAGCCTCAAAGGCACCTGCTGAAAGGGTGGGGGAAACCTCGGAAGGCTGCGGGTCACCAAGTCCTGCAGTCTTGCCTCGAGGGCACCTGCAAGAGTAACGCTTCCAAAACGCTCCGGATCAGCAGGGAAGGAGTTGGCTGCACGGGGGCTCCGCACAGCACCGCTCTGTCCCATCTGTCCTGTCACATGCTCCGAGGAGCACTGAGGCATGGCCACCTCACCACCACTACTAAGTCATCACGTGCCACAAAGGGCCCTGTGACACACTGCCACGTGCCCTGGGGCCTCCCCCAGCCCAGCCAACCTGCCCCAGGAGGGAAGGAGTCCGTTCTCCAAAGCATCCAAGACAGCTGGACACGAACTTTAGGCACAGCTGAAAAACTAAGCAAACCCTCCCCTGCTGTGCCTGCCCACGGCAGCAGAAGGAGCCCCCTCGGCTGCCAACGCAGCCGCAGCGGGAAGGCCACGGGGCCTCCACACGAGCTGGCACGGGCTCCTTGGGAGAAGTGCCGGCTGGTGGCCCTCCCGAACACGGGGCTGTGACACACAGAAGGAAAGTGGGGGCGAGGGCACCAATGCTGCTCTGACCGCATTGGCCAGGGCTGCACCAAAATCAGCAGCTCTGGCAAGTCCTCGTTGAAGGAGACCTGCCACTGCCCCCAGTCCTGGCAGGTCTGGTGCCCATCTCCTGCCCCACAGAGCTATGCCTCCGGGGTACTTCTGGCAAGGCCATCCCGACCACCTCTACATCCACATCCCACAGTAGCTCCACAAGGCTTTCAGTTAGGCTGTACATTCTTTTGGCCTGCGAGGAACACAAGACTGTGCTGGGAAGCCATGAAGGGCTGCAGCGCCAACCCCACTCTGGCGGGGCAGCCCCACGGGGCTGAACGGGGAGGCAGCAGAGCTGGGAGCAGTTGCCACAGCTCCCAAAGCAATTTGTGCCATCACATTCTGTCCTTCTTGCAGTCTGAATCTAAACTGAAAAGTTTCCAGCCACAATTCACACAGACAAATGTGCTCTCAGACCTGGGCCCTTACATTTGGAAACTTCTATTCTCATCCCAATCAAGTGACAGTCACTTTCCCCTTGCAGCCAGTGAACAGCTCTCCCACTGTGGTGCTCTGCACTTTCCTGCTCAGCTATGCATATCATCACACACGTTCAGTTATGCAGAGACCAACATGTCCATGAGACTCCAAACACAAAGATGTGCCAGGACAAAAGCAGTTGCTGTATAATTCTTTCTAATGGCAAACTTTCAACAACATACCACACACCTGCGCTTTGCACCTTCCTTCTCAGCTATATAATGCCACATTTTTTCACTCTTGCAGAGCCTAGCTTCAAACCTGAAAACATCCAGCAGCTGCTCCCATACAATGTGTTTAAGAACAGAAGCCCTTTGACATTCCCTTTGTAAGTGTATACTGCACACACCCCAGTGTACGTGCCTGGTCTTTGCTTTCCCTGTTGTTCCTAGGAAAGGTCAAAGAGCTTAACAATGGGTCTTTCCAAAAAGGGTGCATCACCTATGCAGGGGATCTCCCACCTTGCTCCTGTTCCTAATCAGAAACTGATCTGATAAGCCAGGTGATGGAGAGAACAAAAACCTGCCTGAGGGCTAAGATCCATGTCAGTCCCACAAGCAGCTGGCTGTGGAGCAGAACTGACCTGGATCTAACTCCTTTTTAAGACGGATTTCCTCCACGCAGGGTCAGATGAACAGCTGGCTTTGTTGGTGCATGAAAAGGTACATGGCAAGAGCACTGTCTCAGTGGCCTGTGAGTTATGCACCTGCTTCCAGAGGGCTGGATCCAGACTGGCCACATGTCAGTGGCTACCTGCCCTTCCTCAGCCTTTGCTGCAGCCCTCGATCTGAGCTGAGCTGACATTTCTGTGCCTGGCCAACTGAGCAGAGAGCCAGATTCTCCAGAGCTGACCCTTGAGCAGGATGCAAGGGCAGCCCATTTAGGACCAGACTTTCCTGCTTTACTGGGACAGGTGCTGATTAGAGGTGAGCATCAGGTGGTTGGTTTTCTGCCATCCCCAGCCGTGGGGAGTTGGGTTCCCACCCTGGGCAGCAGCAGTGCTGGCACCTCATGGGGCTCACCCAGTTCTCACCACAGCAGGGCTCAAGGCTACCACCACATGCATGATTCAAACCCAGTGCCAGACACAGGCTGGGATGGAAATGCTGGTGACCACCTACAAGTCTGCAGAAGTCAGGGACACACCCACTTGGGATTTGAGTGCAAAACAGCATTTTTGACATGCAGCAGCAGTGGCACGGCCCTTCCCACACCGTGACACAGGCCACGTGTCTACAGTGGAGTGTCAGACCTGTCACATACTTTCTTGCCTTCCCCTCTCCTATGCTCTAGCCAGCTCTTCAGGATGTAACCAAAACCACCATTTTAAGGACATGCACAGTATCTGTGATGTTTCACTTATTGTTTTGCTGCCACCAGCAATATTGATATAAAAAAAAAATAATGATGAAACTTAGCAATGATATAGCTCTTTATATTTTTGAAATCTCTGTACAAACATTACTTAAACAAAGCAAGGTAGTATGCAAAACAGTCATTGCTTAGAATAATCAATCAATGGGTTGTGCTTCAGTGGTGACACTGGGAGAGGAACAAGAGTGCCGGAAGGGAAGCAACAAACCAGAGGTATAACAAGGTCTCGTCTTCGAAGTTGGGGTTATGAATGGAGAAAGTAAGTGTCAAGGACAGTGTCTGAGAGTGTTCTTTAATATCCTTACACCAGGTAGGTAAAACCAATGTATTTGCACTATCACACAGGAAGATGGGGGAAGAATAACTACTTAATGCAAATAATATACAGCAATATATATATATGTCTGTATAAGTACATATTCACACACACACCCCCCTTTGATCCTAAATTTGCTAAGGATGCCTCAGTCAAACTACAACAGAAATTATATTGGTATGATAACAACGACAATATTAAAAATGTGAAAACAGTGCAGTGACATCGACTGTGGATCTTTCCCTCCAGAGAACAGATATTCCTTAAACTGTTCCATCTGCCGAGGCTGGCTGCAAACACGGCTCTCAATTCCTCTTTCCTGGAATGACTGAAGAAAACAAAAACTCAACTACCCCCAGGACTCATTCCTGCCTACGGAAATGCTGCCGGTGCAATTAACCGCCCGTTCATTCACAGGCGACAGGACAGCCCTTTGGCTGTGAAGGCTCTAAAGAACACCATGCACTGACATGACCCAACAAGGAACTTGTGTCCTATCTGCTCCCCACAGCCCTGCCAGGTCCAGGATTCCAGCCCCAGCTCGGTTCCTGCAGCCCCCCTTGGTTTGCATCATTCCCAGCTCAACAGAAGTGATGGAAGCAGCAGTTTTATTGGAAGCACCATACTGGCTCAGGCACACAGTGCCAGTGGATGTACTAAGGGACTGATTTCCATCCCCCCCAGGTGTGTTTTAGGGACAAAAACCTGCCTAGTGATGAAACACCCTCCCCAGCCGGTGGCTCTAAATACCCAGCCTGCCTGCCCAGAGACCCACACGATTTTTCTTGCATGGGGAATCAACCCAAAATTGTTGGAAATACTCCAGACCAGTTGTTTGCATAAAGGAAGGGCAGCAAGCCAAGTGGGTAATTCCTTTGGTCCATGCTCCCCATGTCTCCTGCACAAGGGCCTCTCCAGCAAATTTCCCATCCTGTGCCATCATTTCTACATTAGAAACTAGAGAAAGCAGCTATTTCAATTTCTCTCTCCTCCTCCTCCTGCTTCCATCAGATGCTGACTCAGCAATGGCTGAGCACATCCATCCCACTGAGCCACCAGTAGGACAGGGACCAAGCCCAGGAAACTGTCCCCTTCCAGCCCTGTGGCACAGAGTTCAGTGTCCCTTCCAAAATCTTCCTTGTGTCCTTACCAAAACCTGTGCCTCTGTTAGCTCTGGGTAACCCCAGGATCAACATTACCTCCTTTCCCCACAGGAATCTTTTAAGCTCAACTGAAAACATTTCCTATTAGAAAATAAATAAATAAATAAACAAATAGATAAAGAAACCCAACAAAAACCACACGGTGATTCTGAGACAGGATAATTGTATTTTATACATTTTATTTCTGCGGGTTTTTAGGTTTTAAGCGACATGAGACATTTTTGTTCTGACTGTATCCCTGAATTGCAATTCTTCTTCCTTTCCAGTAAACTTTGGGATAATTTTCACAGTGGACAGCTTTATAATGATAAAAACGCAAAGAATGCAAAGTGTAGCTTCTCTGCAAGCATGAGCCTTCCAAACATAAATTTAAGGAATGGCAATAATCAATTATTTTGAAAACCATGGATATTTAAAAAACCCAAAATTTTAATTATGTGGTGACTGTGACTAAGTCAATTCTTAGACCTGATTCTCAATTCCTGGCTGGTTATTTTTTTAAACACAGCTTGGTTTCCAAAGGCAGCACTTCTCCATGACACAGGCTCTGCCTCATGCTACCAAACACTCTGAACCAAGTTTTAACTCATGCATATTTGCACTGAGAGCAGGGTGAGTTTGGGGTTTTCCCTGGGGTAGACAGCACTCTTGGACATCACAGAATCATGGAATGGTTTGGGTTGAAAGGGACCTTCAAGACCATCTTGTTCCACCCCCCTGCCATAGGCAGGGACACCTTCCACTAGCCCAGGTTGCTCCAAGCTCCATCCAACCTGGCCTTGGATGCTTCCAGGGATGAGGCAGCCACAGCTTCTCTGGGCAACCTGTGCCAGGGCCTCTCCACCCTCACCGGGAGAATTTCTTCCCTATATCCAATTAAAATCTACCCTCTGTCAGTGGGAAGCCATTCTGCCTTGTCCTGTCACTCCAAGCCCTTGTTCCAAGTCCCTCTCCAGCTCTCTTGGAGCCCCCTTTAGACACTGGAAGGGGGTCTAAGGTCTCCACAGAGCCTTCTCTTCTCCAGGTGAACACCCCCAGCTCTCCCAGCCTGTCTCCAGAACTGGACTGATGAAGTGCAACACCAGTTCTGAGATCCTCACCCTCTCCGCAGCAAGTTATTTTCGATTTAGAGCAACAGCACCCAAAAATCTTCTACTGCTGAGCTTCCTATGAAGTAACAAGCCATGAAAAGATTTCTCTAAGACAAGGAGAAGATGAGAATTGCCAGCTGTCCAGACACCCCACTGCTGCACATCCCTAAGCAAGTGGAGTCACCGTTCCCATCACTACCTGTGCGACATCCACACCGCTGGGGGAGAAGTGTGGCTGACAGGCTCTACATGAAACACTCAAGAGACAAGCAGTAAGAAGTAATCTACAGTTATTACCAGGTCCTGAATACAGCCATAAGCGATATTTCAAGTGTTAACCTTTAGGCCCAGATTTTCTTAAAATGATCCTGCATAACATATATATATATTATATATATATATATATTTCAAACATCTATATTTAAAATTACCTACTTTCATAACCTACAAACTTTACTATAGCCAGACTGCCATCTGGAGAAAAAACATCTTAAATTAGATTTCAAGTATTCATCAACATTAAAGTTGTTGTTCTAAGTCCTTTGAAGGTCCTGAGACAAACACTCAATTACAATTATATAAATATTCAATCAAAATAATTATATAAATATTCAATCAAAAATAAGGGGGGGGAAGTAAAAGAACAGAAGCAGCTCCTAGAGCAGCAGTACAAGTCCCCTGTGCAGGTCAGCTCCCACCCATCCAGCTTTCCAGACCCCTCAGCCTTCCAGCGCTGGTCTCCCACAAAATTTGGCAACTGCCAGAGGCTAAGTTGCCTTATCTTTTGCAGTCACTTGAAATTATATACATCACTATCCCTTCTTGCTCAGTGATAGTGATTTGCAGGGAACCCTCCCAACTGCCTTCTGTGTGTGAACTGCACAAAAAGGAACGAGGGATTGAAGGAAGCCAAGCAGTATTTTATTGACTCCCAGAAGACAGATATGGATTGCACATAACCCTGGAAAACTTCTTTTTAAAATCCTAGAATTATAAACAGGAAAACTCATTCCTCATAAATAACCTGACACCACTCCTTTGTCAAAAGGTTTTGGCATGGAACGTATTTCCTTTACAGTTTAATTCTGATTGTTCATTCGAACAGCTTAAAAAACTAAGTCTATAATAAAACAAATATTTTGCTCATATTTTTGACTTCATTAAAAAAAAATAGTTTGAGTCACTACTTTTCTAGTCCTCAAAAAAATTTCAGAGAGACACCAACATTCGAATGAGTCCCTTAAAAATGTGTATTTCACCTAAGAGCAGTAATGACCTTGAGAAAATGCACATGGTGTGAACAGCTTTTCCTCCACCCTGCAGAAACATTCCCATACTCAACTACAGCCCCTAAACAGAACTTCTGCCACATGAACAAGACAAGGCCAATGCCCCAGTGCTTACAAAATCTGACCACATGCATTTAAATTCCTTTTGGAATAGGTCAGTGTACACCTCAGTTGGATGATGACTGCAAGAGCCTTGTTGGGCTTGCAGGGGCCATGGGAGTGCTTTTAGTTTTAATGAGAAGCAGACAGGGTAACTGAAGCCACCTATGAGGGTGAATTAACACAGCCCATCTCTTGCAGCCTGTCCCCCTGGCAGCTGGAAAAGGCAGTAACCTCTGGAAGCATCAGACTTTTCTGAGGGGATCCCTAGGTCACAGACTCTCTTGCCCTCCCAGAGCAGTGCTTGCTATTATCCATAGAATCACCCAAATGTATTGTTGGCACCTCAGTGCCTTATTTCCAAGACATTAACCCTGAGGCTTCAACTAACGCACGAGTGATTTTCATGTCTGGTCACTTCTTGAAGTGGAAAATAGGTTCCTACTTGAGCAGTAATGTCTTGGCATTCATGATCATCCCAAAGTGGTTTTACACCAGTCTCCAACACCCCAGGTACTTGCTAACCCCAGAGGTGCTGGGGCTGAGGTACCTGGCTCCAGTTACAGCCCCACAACATGCAGGCTTTGGCCATGCGGCTAAACCGATTCCTGCTCCGCTCCACTGCTCCGCAGAGGCACCGGCACAGCTCCAACTGCACCTCCGACCCAATGTGGGCCTATGAGCAACCCTTGACTTCAAAGCACGGACCAGCCTGCTGGTCTGACGTCCTGCGTGGCACAGGTAAGGGGCAGTGAAGCAGAGAACAGGAACCAAGAGCTGGAGTGTTGGTTTGGTCGGATTTGGTTTGGTCAGGAGAAGCCCCATGCCGTGAAGCATCACCTGGTTTGCACAGGGAGCACAGAGGGTCTCTGAGATGATCTTCAGAGAGCACAGGTGACACCTCCATGGGCACGAGCCACGGGATGTGTTTGGACACGTCCCGTACCACACATCACCTCATCTGCCACTGATGTCATGAACTAAAAAGCGGTTTTAAGAACTCCTCCTGTACAGCAGTTCATCAAATGGACCTCACAATATTCCGCTTCTATCTTACAGTTTGACATAAAGCAGAAGTGTCTACACTTTTAGGAAAAACACTTTTTAAAGTAACAGTCAAAACAAATGAGTGCACCCAATTAGCTTCATGAAGCCCATCACACATGTAAAGCCAAAAGGCAACGAAACCTCAGAGACACAACAACTTGGGTGAAAGCAGATATAACGCCCAGGAAATAAGTTTTAACAACTCTTTTGTCCATTCCAAGAGTTTCTCATTAATACCCAACAGGGGACTGGTTTTGGCAATTCAGGCTTAGTGCCCTTAAAACGAGCAAATTTTTTTTAAGCTGTCACATTACTGTTACAGTTAAGGTTGTATTCTGATGAGTTCCTGGGATATACAAGTCACCTACTTCTAAACGTTATAGGCTTCTGCACATTACAGACTAAACTTCTTAACTTACAAATAATTATTTTTGCTGTTTCCAGTTTACAATGGTAAAAAAAAATGAAGACTTCACAATGGGTGTAAATGGGAGGTAAATGTATTTTTAAAAACAGAATAAAAAGCTGCATGTTAAAAACTGGGTCACAGACTAATAAATACATACATCGAAGACATGAAATTTTCAGCAGCTGGTTTTAAAGAGCAAGGAATTGGGAAAAAACTAGCTGTCCAGACTCCATTCTGGCTCTGTTGTCTATGTGCTAAAAATATCTGCAGTTCAAAAACAAGTTAACAGAGCAGTAGAATCAGCTTTGTCACCTATTTTTAAAAAATTAAGCTACTTCCTAAAAGTGTGGTGTAAAACCTAGAGAAACTTTTAATTTCTTCATGCACTTGATGACACTGAATTAAAAAAAGAAATTATTTTAACCCAGAAAAAATGAGTCATTGTATACAGTAAGGACAGCCTTACTGCAGGTTTTCTACAGCAAAAGTATTTCTAGAAATACACCAGAAATTACTTTCCTATAACAAAATATACAATTATGTGTCAGATCATCATTGAGTTTCATTACTCAGGCGAAACAGAAACAGTTACTGTGAAGTTTCAAAAAAACCCCAAAGAAACCCAACTCCAAACAGCAAAAAGATGTTTTGATGGCTGTGGAGATGCCAGAAAGCAATGCTGGACACCAGGAATTTTCAGAACAACTCCCTTTCCAAAGTGATGTGCAGTTTGTGAATTAGACCATGAGTGAAAACTGATCTTGTTCTATGGGCTTCTCCACCCAGGCTCCAAGTCCTGCCTTCAGGAATGCTTTAAACAAACACTCTTTGGCAGTTTGATACTCAGTGGCTCCTTGCTTGGTATCGTGGTACAGGTTGGGCTTGAGGATCTTTGAGCGCAAGCTGGAGGAAAGCTGTGGGGATTACAGACAAGAAAAGAAGAGAGACAAGACCCTATTAAGCCAAACAGTTTGAGAGTGACTGAGTTATTCAAACAACTAATATTAAAACAATGTAAGGATCTACCAAACAAAATGGTTGAGGCCAAAAAGCCACAGACGTGCTTTCTGGTAGCTTTTCTTTCTGAGAGGAAAAAGGAAAACCTCAGCAGTTTCAACTGCAGTGAAAATGGGATTATCCTTCCAAATAAATAAAAGCGAGAAGGCAAGTTCAAAGGAGACAGCATCCTTTGCTTAGTCAGCTATAAACCAAGGGGTATGCATTTTGGACTAGACAGCATCACATTAAAGAGTAAGTTAACAAACACATATTCTTTTACATTACTGTCTGGGGCAGTAGGTAACTGGCCTCAAGTTGCACCAGGGGAGGTTTTGATTATGTATTAGGAAAAAAAATTATGGAAAGGGTTGTAAAGCAGTGGAACAGGCTGCCCAGGGAAGTGGTGGGGTCATCATCCCTGGAAGTGTTAAAAAAAAAAAAAAAAAGTGTGGATGTGGCACTAGAGGAAGTGGTTTAACAGTGAACACGATGGCAGTGCTGTGCTGATGGTTGGACTTGATGACTTTAAAGATCTTTTCTGGCTTTGATGATGCTGTGATTCTAACACCAGGTTTAGCTTAAAACAGGCTCACAAAGTGGCTTCTGAGCCCAGAGAGCACACAGAGGTATTTCACTAAGCACTGGGCAGTGGGAGCTGTGGCAGCCTGGGGGCCATACCTTGGCGTGGATACGCATCCAGCGGCTGTAGAACGCGTGCTTACACAGGCGGGACGCACGGCCCATCTCATCCTTGCCAGTCGTGGCATTAATGACTTCCAGACCAGTGTCTCCTACTGTCCAGTTCACACTGAAGTTTGGGGCTTTCCCTGGCTGACGGGCTTCTGCATTGCTGATACCTGAAAGGAAAGTGATGTTTAAGGACAATAACACATACAAACTATTGACTATTCTTTTTTTTTTTGGTTGGGGAGCAATCTGTTTGTAAGACCGCTCTTTTACTTTGAGGGCATTCTCCTGCAGATTTCTCACCGACTTGTGGTGGTAGCACCATGGACATCTCATTCTTATCCTGGCTAAAGTGCTCTCTACTGTCCTTCCCAGCAGGGCAAGTGTGCATTGCTGGAGAAACCAGCCTCCTTGTTGGAGGGGATCATGGAGAGGTCTGTGGCAAGTGTTCATGGAGACAGTAACAGGAGTGCCTTGCCATATCCTCCTCACAAGGATCTGGTCTTGCAAGTGAACAAATTCATTATTAACCAGCAAATAGTTATGAAGCAGAACAAAAGTTGTTCTGCTCCAGCTCAAGAAACTGCTGCTCTCAGAGCCCACTCAGTAGCTGAGTGTAGCAAGGAGCCAACACTGTGAGAGTTTGGCAGCTGTAACTCTTCAGTCAATTCCCTTTCACTCTGATGTAAGAATTCAGGTGCATGTTGCTTATCTCACTTCAAATTGGATGTGAAAATATGAACCCTGGAAGTGTTCAAGGCTGGGTTGGACGGGGCTTGGAGCAACCTGGGATAGTGGAAGGTGTCCCTGCCCATGGCAGGGGCTTAGAACTAGATAAGCTTTAAGGTCCCTTCCAACACAAACCATTCTGTGATTCTATAAAGGTGAGCCCCATCCTCAGCACCCTTCACACAAAGCCAGAACTGGCAGACATTGGAGTTTTCAAGCACAAATCCATTTGTGTTTCAGCTGCTTCCCCACTTTGCATGCCCACTGTTGCACACCGTGCCCAGAGGACTCCAGAGAGGACTCGTATCATTTTGCTCAAGTGTTAAATCATGTGACACCTTCCAAATATGGCTCCACCTCTATGGATGGAGAAGCAAAGCCACTAGCAATCAAACCCAAGTGCAAAACGAGGCCATCTGCCTGCCCAGGGCAGGATTTATTCCCCCACAGCAGCCCAGTGCTGCGAAGATGGACCGTACAGAATGGCTGCAGTATTGTGCTTGAAGGTCACAGCAGCTGCTGCCGTACATGTGTGAATCCTCAGGCATCACAGAGGTGGCAAAACTCTCTGTTTAAGATGTCTCAGTCACCTCACCAGCAGAGAGCAAAGCAGTAGGGCAATTTGTTCTTTCTAATAAATAAAAATCCCATTTTTTTACTTTAACGCAGCTCTCACCGAGAACCTCTTTCAAATCTACTCCAAGGTTATGCCAAGCCCTATACTTAATAAAATCTAGAGGATTTGTGGAAATTGAACATAAGCAACACAGCAGGATGCATTTCTAGCTGATACCTAAAACGATCTAACAAAGTCAGACACCTGGGAGCAGGACTGGCTCAGCTGGCTCAGTCTCACGGCACCTCTGGGCCCAGCACTGAGAGTGTGCAAGACCCACGAGGTCTGAATGACACAGAGAAATTCAGTTTGCTTTCTATCATCAATTCCTCATTTAATAAACAAACAAACACTTTGAAATATCAATCACTGAAGTGTTGTATATTTACACTTGGTTTACATCAACCTTGTCACTATGACTGATAACTAGTAATTAAGTTAATAATGATAGCAAATAACCCTACCATCCCTCATTTTTTTAAAATATAAGCTGAAAAATTTGAGAATTGTAACAAAAGTTGGTTTTACCAAAACTACTGAGGCAAGAGGGCTAAGAAATTGCTGCCACATGACAATTTTTTGTCTTGTTTTTTCTGTAATCTAATAATACCTATACTATTAGCTTTGCTTTCATTCCATACACTATTAAATAAGTATAAGGGTCAGATAGAGGTCACTGAGTACTACAAAACACTTGTGACATCACACCCAGTCTCACAAATAAAGATGAGGAAGCTGAATATGCACTACACTTCCATTGCAATTATACAATTCCATTCTTTGGGTTATTTTGATCAATTAGTTAAATCTAAAAAAGAGAAACCGACCCAGATTTAGAATTTCAAATAGATTTAAATAACAACAACCCGTTCAGCTACTTAATTGTATGCAGAAACCCTGTAGAGATGGCAAAGGAGTCTCATGGTGGATGGTGGATTGTGGGTAGCACAGACAGGGAATAAAGGTCATCTCAAAATCAAAGCATCTGATAAAATTTTAGGTGGATCATATCTTCCCCCTCAAAATCCAGACACGAATATAGTACAATAAGCTGAAACTAGAAATGGAAAAGAAAACTAGGATAGAAAGTCAGATATTTTACTCTCCACTGAAAACTGATATAACTAAGCTATTTAGAGAACATTGCTCAGAAGTTATTGCTGAGTATTATTATAAAGGGATATAATAAGCAAAAGCAAAGGTCACAGCTCTTTGTGCCAGTGATTATATAAATCATAAATCTTGACAGTTTTTTGAAGACAGAGCTTAAAAGAGCTTCCTTAAAAAGGAGATAGAGAGCTGAAAAATACCAACGTGAACAGGAGGATAAGGTACCATGGGAACGGCCAAAAAATCCCCAAAGGTCCTCTGCTGAAGGATTTATTTTTGTCTATTAAAACCAGAATTCACTAACACCTGAATGAAGATGGTCTCCTTGTGAAGAGGCAACACAGCTGGAGAGCTTCCAGCTCTGTGCATATCTGGAAAGTGTGCAGGGGTAAAAGCCCAGGTGATTAAGACTGGTGATGATACTTAATTATTTTAAAGAGTCAGTAAGAGAAGGAATTGCAAAGAGTAGCAGAAAAAAGCTCACACATTGGGTGTCTGGGCAATAAAAAGGCAGGTGAAATTGCTCACAGATAAATATTAGGCAAAACACATGAGATAAAACCCCAAAGCAGTGTTGCACGAGGAGTGCTGGACTTGGAGCAGGATTGGAGCATTCAGGAATGAGGTTTTAGTTTCTAATATTCAGTTCTACCGAAAGGTCGGCTCAAGGACCAAAAGTAATCAAAGTGAATGTTAGGAATTATTAGTGAAGGATCAAGGATCTCAGCAGAGTATATGCCACCACATAAATCAGTATTGCTGCTTTACCTGGAGTATCAAGTGCTGCCCTGGTGTCACCGGCACAAAAATGGAAGTGCAAAATGAAAGGTATGATCCTTACATGAAAGGGTCTCTGTGCAAGGAACAACAAAGTAGACTAAGACACTTCAGCTTGCAGAAAATAGGATTTATGTAGGAAGGAATATCTCAGAGGTACAGAAAACTGAGTGTCGTGACCACTTCCTATAGCCCAGATCACACAGAGCACTGAGGAACATCTAATTAAATTAGCAGAAAGTTCCTTTGCACAGATCTTTGCACGTTCCACAGCCCCTCCTTACTCAAGGAGGCTGCAGATGGTAAAAAGTTAAAACCAGTTAAAAAATTGAACCGGAAACTGACAAAGAAAGATCTGTTAAGGATTTCTAAACACAAAGATTCTCAATACCTGACTCGAGATGTCCCTGATCTCCAGATTGCCACTGTGATTCCCCAAAATATCTGCAGAGGGTTAATATTTCCTTTTGCTTTTCACTGCCTAACTACCTGTGGAAAAGAATACTGGGCTGGATGGGTTGTACCTTAAAATCTTGGTCTTACAGTGGTGACAAGATAATCAGCAAGTAAAAAAAAATCTCTTCGAAAGAAAGAATGATGAAAAGACAATTTTTAGCAGCACATAACAATATCCCAAAGTTAAAATAACTTTGACTTAATACAATTGCCCCAGCAGACATAAAACTTGTTTTATGAGAAGAAAACCAGCTTTTACAGTACTTTCTCAGCTAAGCAGGTGGAACAGTGGGGAAAGACAGATATTTCTGTTTTGGTTCATCCCTCTGGTAGAAATAAGACACAGCTCTGTGTGTGGTACAAGAAGGAACACAGAATTAGGGACAGGTATTTCTGCAGTGCTTATTCCAGGTAAGAATACACTAAAAAATATATGAATCCAAGGGCAGATGGGCAACTACACAAGTGCCCCAGCTGAACCTAACAGCATAGGTCAGAAGATTAGCCTTCGAGACTGAGCTAGTAAAATAAAATACATCAACATAGTGCTCCCCCCCAACCTCCTAAAGAAGCTTTCTGTATGTTTTTGAGATGTGTGTTTTTGTGAAAACCCAAAAGCTGAGAACTTTTCTGAACTCTCTCTGCTGTTCAGCAAGTCCTGGCTGAACTGTTTAAACAGATGGTGCTATTTCATAGCAAATAGATGATATCACCATTGCAGAAAGATGATTTTAAAGAAGACAAGGTGCTGTTATACGCTGTGAAAAGGAAAACAAAAACTCCTCCCACTCTGCCCCAAACCTGCCATCTTGAAGGATTGATAAAAATTCCCCTAAATCAGGCAGAAACAGTCCATACATCATCTACTGTGGCCATACAACCATTAGAGATATTTGGTAGTGAGTGTTGTAACTGTTACTTAATTGCTAATATAAGGATAAATACGTTACTTAACATTTCTATACATTCTAGATCAGGGAATCCTTATTAATTACCTTTCTTATCTAAAGAAATACTTGTCGTTCAAAATGCTCTTTTCCCCATTCCCTCCCTACATCTATTTTAAAAATCCATGTAAAACTTTAAACGTTTTAAAATAATGAGCTTTTCTGTTCTTCCTCGGAAAATGCCAAAAGCTAAGCTCTACAGAACAAAGCAGCTGTGCTGGTTTCAGCTGGGGTAGAGTGATGGTGTTTGTCTTCCCAAGTCACCGTGGGGTGGGATGGGACTCTGCTCTCCTGGAGGTGGCTGAACACCTGCCTGCCCATGGAAAGCAGAGAGTGACTTCCTTATTTTAGTTTACTTGTGTACACGGCTTTTGCTTTGCCTGTTAAACTGTCTTTATCTCAACCCCCGAGTTTTGTGGTTTTTACCCTTCCAATCCTCTCCCTGGTCCTGCTGGTGAGGGAGTGAGGGAGTGGCTGTCAGGGGCTTGGCTGCTGGCTGGGTTAAGCCACAACAGCAATGCACACAATCAGAGGGAGGATGAGATTTCAGTTTTAAAGCTTTCACAGCATTACTGTAACAAGCCATTTTAGAATTTAAGACAGGTGAGATGTTATCCCCACCCATTCTGAGTTGATTATTGATCCAGAAATTGTGTCTATCTTGGCATACTGATTAATGATGGAACCACTCAACAAATATTTGCCACACAAGAGAAGTGACAGTGAGTGCTAACATGCTATTCCACGGATGGGAAGAGGCTTCACTAAGCCTTCAACTCGTCTCACATCTTGGTAGGGCACGCTGTGGACAGGAATGATGTGAAGCCTCATCGAAACATTCATCCCCCAGCTCTTTCCAACTTTTAAGAGTCCTTGCTATGGTATTTCTGACTGTCTGTATTACGTTTAGACCACGGCTTCTCTGTTGCAACCAGCAAGCAGTTTACTCACAGCACACAGTTTGCAAGGTTTTGAGAACTGCAAAATCACATCGCTACTGGAACAGACTTGGTTACCGGCACGGCCTTCTCCATTAGATACTTGCCACTAAGTAAAGGTCTGTTGAGTGTATAAAGAGGTGGTAGATCTTCTATCTCTGCTATCCTCTGGTAAACGGCTCTGGATAGATGATCCCCATGATATAAACTCCCCAAGATGATGCTAGAGAAGTAAATTGGCTCCACAAAGAGGCTAAGTAAGGCTCCTTGAATACCCAATACGTTCCACCTAAGAGGGAGGGAAAAACAAAACAAAAAAAAAACAAAAAAACACTTTCTTTTTAATGGAACAAGTAACATCTGCCAGACATAATAGCAGTTAATCACAATGGACTAGATTTTTAACCCTTTCTCCTGACTGGCACATGACCATGGTAGCATAAGCTGTGACACCTGCCAGAATTTCAGAGATCAGCTTAGGGGATGCTCAGCGTAATCCTGAGTAAAATGACCTACAGCAACAGGCCAGGAGCAGACTCCACAACTTTATTTCCCCACTAACATGTCTGGTGATGCATTTTCTAGCACCCTAGTGCCAGAGATGGACAGGATCATTCAGTGGGAGAAAGCCAAACTGTGAGATTCTCAGAAACAGCAGCTATTGCCCCCAAAAGACACCTAGCAGGGGGTAAAGCATCCTTCCCAGAGCAAAAGGATTGTGTTTGCAAGACCTCCACACCTCATCACCATAAGGGAAAACCTGTCCTTGACACCCTAGCCCAACTGTTTCCACATCCTGCTGCCAGAAAGGACACATGCACTGGCATGCAATATCCATAGTCAGGGAGAAGATTGAATCTGAAAACTGAAAATATGCAAAGAAAGCATGTATTCTTTGCTCCCTTTAGCTGTTTCACATATTCCAACCAAAAATCCCTTGTCTGGACCACTGTGATCTACACTGGATCAGGTCTAGTGGCAGGGATATAGCATGCCTAGGAGCAAAATCCTGATTTTTTTTTTTTTTTTGACAGCTGCATTCATTTGAAAAAGCTTTGGCTCTCAATCTGTCTGTAACAGTTATAGAGAGTACTTCTGAAAACCTCAATATCTCCTGCAGAGTATTTTCTCTGTATTTGTCTGAGGAATACTTGCAAAAAGCTTGGCACTATGAAAATAGCATTTTTCAGTCAGAATCATAGAACCACGGAATGATTTGGGCTGGAAGGGACCTTAAAGACCATCCCATTCCAACCCCCTGCCATGGTCAGGGACACCTTCCACTAGACCAGGTTCCTCAGAGCCCCCATCCAGCCTGGTGTTGGAGTCAAACTGCAGCATCCAGACACAAGCAGCAGGGAAGTTTCCTTTGGTGCTTGGATAAAACAAAGGAGCACAATGGAAGCTCTTGGGCTCCCACAGAATGGTTGTCCTTATTAAAAATCCCACCGTATATCAGGCTGCAAGGTTACCCTAGGAAAACAGGTAACTTGGATGTTGCTAACAGTGATTCTTGCAGTTTGTGCTGGGATGGCTACACATCAGCATCATTTCAGGCTAGAAACTGCACATCACAACTGTTTCACTACTGCAAAAATTGAATTACACGTGCTGGCTTCAGGATGTGCAAAAAAAAAGGGTAAAACAAAGACTGCAATTCAAGGAACCAATTTCTTTGCATATTTTTACTGAGGATAAAAATGGAGGCAATGTGCATTAACTTACTCACCTGTCATTAAAAAAGCTGGCACTAATGAATGAATAAAAATTCTGTGCTAATAAAAAAATGAGGTCTATTTTACATGGAATAAAGGCACACTTTGTATAACACTGATAACATTGCATAAAATGCAATCAGCAACCAAATGTCAGAGTAAAGATATCAAGTGAAAATTATTGCTTTCCAGGACCAATATGTCTTTTTAAGGACCATATCATGACTAGAAGTCTGTAGATTTGAGGTATTTCAAGTGCCAAATGAATCACAATATTATTTTCTTGTTGTTTGCAGTATTGCCTACATGGAGAGCATGGACTGCTACAGACACAGGTAATATTATGGAAGAAACATCTGGAAGGAATTCAAGACTGAGCATTGCAACTGGGGTCTTACAAATGTATCTGAGACTTGCAGACAAGGCACATCACATTTTACATGACCAGTGTTTGAGTGACAGATGAATATCTCAAAAAAGGCCAAAGCACTCCTCTGGCAAGCCCTCATCCCCTAAATAAAACCTTTGCCAGACTCCCTTCCTTACTTCCGATTTCAGTATTTCCACAGCTTGTGTTTTGCCACTGCCTCCCACACTTGGTGACGTCCTCTGGCACAGAAAATGAAAGCTGACCACTTGTCTTACAAACTTCTTCTGATGAAAAGAAGAGGAGTGTGGACACCTGAACGAGTTTCTGCAAGGTGAACTGTATGGACTGGTACTACTGCTCACAGGCCTTATGTTTTCCTGGGGTGTGCTGATGCACCTTCAGCACTGCAGCACTTGCTCATGAATGCTGGGTTCACAGCAACTTGCTTGATGCAAGGACAGGGTTTGAAGAAAACATTCTTACAGCCAAGGCCTCAAGCTCTTAATATTGATTGGGCAGGGTTGGATGGTGGTTAGGTTTATAAAACTAGCTTTAAATTTCCATAGTTAAAATTTCCAAAGTACATATACTTGTCCACAGAAATGTATTCTTATATCAGAAGCTGGTTGTAGCACAGAGATAAAACCTGACACCCAAATGAATCACAGAATCACTGAGGTTGGAAAAGCCCCCTAAGATCACTGGGTCCCACTGCCAACCCAGTACGGCTATGTTCACCACAGAACCATGTCCCCTGGTGCCACATCACACACCCTTTGGACACTTGCAGGGATGTTGACTCTACCACTTCCCTGGGCAGCCTATTCCAGTGCCCAACCACCCTTTTGGTGAAAAACTTTTCCCCAGTATCCAACCTGGACCTCCCCTGGCCCAGCTTGAGGCCGTTTCCTCTGGTCCTGTCACTTGTCACCTGGGAGAAGAGATCAACCCTCCCCTGGCCCCACTCTCCTGTCAGAAAGTTGCAGAGAGTGAGAAGGTCCCCCCTGAGCCTCCTTTTCTCCAGGATGAGCTCCTCCAGCTCCCTCAGATGCTCCTCACAGGACCTGGTGCCTGTGTTCTGCAGATCGTAGCAGAGTGAGAAAAGGAAGGACTGCATAGAGACTTTCTCAATGTTCCTTTTTCATATTGTACTTCTTTATATCAAACAGTAGTATCTCACTTCCATTAGCACATACACTGGAACAACCTTCATGGGTGTAAACTGAGAAGAAACTACACCAACACCACACATCGGTTTTCAAAAGGCCACAGGCATTGCCTCCTGAAATGGTAAAACTGCCTCGTCCTCCAGTGTAGAAGCATGGATTGTGAGAATGCTGCCAATCTAGTGTTAACCTCTACTGAAAGCACAAGTTTTTTTGAAATTAAGGGGCCAAATTCTGTATTTCACCACAAGCCAGGAGGTGCAGAGTGGAAAAAAGCAAAATGCACTGCCGAAAATTTCAAGTCAGTGTTGTCTTCCTAACGAAGCAATTAAGCAACAGCATTTTTTTTCTTCTCATTAAAAATAGCATCAGAAAAGAGTTAAGTAACTGAAGTAACTTAAATCTAGCTTACAAATCCAAACCTGGGTGTTAAAGAAGAAGCATGAGCAGAACACAGGAATGCTGCATCACATCAACAGAGATACTGAAATGCCTAAAGTAAGGCATGTAAAGAAGAGATTTGCCAATGGGAAAGAACACCTCAGCAAGTAGGGGAACACCTTCCAGCATAAACCTTTTCATTGGGAACACCTGACATGCTTGTCTTAGCTAAGCATAAAATGTGTCTTGTGACAGTGTTTAACATATTCTGAGCATTCTGACTACAAGAATTTTCTTTCACAACTTTAAAAAATCTTAAAGTAAAACTGGCACTTAAAACACAAGTTTCTCAAGGCTGAGTGAAAGAGATTTGCCCATGATCATTCGTATGGGTGAGTAACATCAATCTCTACTTAATAATTGGTTTTGCTCACTTTAATATAATTGCTTCAACAAATAGTGCACTATAAAAGTAGTTATAGCTACCTGTACTGTGTAGTAAATAATTCTAATTAAGGTCTTTTAGTCTAATCATTACCATAATCAATTTAAATAAATCATTTATTCATATCATGATATTTGGTTTGCCATCCTTAATCCTGTGGGACAAAGTCATACAGAGGTTCAATCACACCTGCACAATCCTTCAGACATAAACTGTTAACCAAGCCTGGGCCTAAGACTGGATCCAGCTGCACCCAGACTCCTTTCCGAGAAGTAGTTTAGGAAGCAAGGGGGTCCTTTCTGTACCTCATGACTCAGCAGGAGGGTCTCCCTGCTAAGCCTTGTGCAAAGTTTCCATTCTGCCCATGACACCACGTGTTTGGCAGCCTGCAATACTCTTTCAGCTTCAAATCTACAGCTCTGCAAGGGATGCACAGCAACCTGACGTGAAGCCAGAAAGTTCAAGCAAAGGCATATTTATTTACTCATCCTGAACTGGCCTTTTCTGAGATAGAAGATCCTTCAGGGTCACACTCTACCAGGGGCTCACTGAGGTGACATTGAAGCCCTACCATGTCTGACAAAGCAACAAAATTTCTAAAGCTCACCTAGCAAAGTACTTTAGCATGAAAAGGGAAACAAAAGCTGCAAATCAAAGCCACGGTTCTCCTTTATCCTTGGGCCAACCAACACACTGCAGTGGCCCCTACCTGCACCTGGACTGGGAGGTTCAGCATTCCCACCCCTGCACATACGAGCTACTGCTGCCAAACAGTTAAAAAAGAGAAGGAGGATGACAGATAAAGGATGTTGCAACCTGCTGCTGGTGTAAAGTACTTTTACACCCCATCATTTTCCCAGCACTAAGCTTGGCCATAGAAGAGTTTGCCTATCACCGCCTTGATCCTCCCCAGTCTGTTATTTTATTTTTATTGTTAAAAAACAACAAAACTGTGACCCTGGATTTTGAAGAGGCAGTTTTTTCAGTCTGGTTGACAGCACAGCTCCACAAACAACTGCAGGACCACTGCCGAGGTAGGGAGATACCACGCACAGGAGGAATGTTAAAGAGATTCCCAACCAAGTTATACCAGCACTTTTTTAAAAAGTCTTTTTCTTAAATAAAACCCCCTAATTTTCATTGAACATTTTCATTTAGCATGAAAAATTTAGCCATCTGAAAAGTTACAGGTGCAAACTAAGATCTACTTCAGTTCAGAAACGCTGCTAAGTCACCTCCATGGGAGCACGGCTTAGGGTGCCCTGCACCTCCCCTTTGCTCTGCAGTTCCCAGTTGCCCATGCATGCTTAGCTATAGGGAGACCAAAAAAACCCAGATTTTCCCATTACCAAGGTTTTGCCATGCCCTCTGCCTCATCCTCAAAGTAATCTTAGGCTCGAGGGATGTCCAGGGAAATGCTCTTTGAAACAACTACATCCCACCACCTTTACAGGTTCAACCCCAGCCTTGGCTTTTGCAGATTTATGCACGTGAGTCGTGTTCAACTTCTGAGAATTTACACAGAGGATGCTCTCTATGTAGTGTGCTCACCTGAGGTCTTACAGATGAGCACCTCACTGGGAAATCTGAATTTTACAAATTTATCACACCCACTGGTTTTCTTATTCTATATTCACTACTAAAGATCCTGCTGATAACAATCTGGAGGATGGATGCACTTCCTCAATCTTTATGCTGTTCTAGATCATGCTACACTGAAAAAAAGAGAGTAGAGAAACCAGAGACCAACACCAAATTAAGAGCAGTCCTCCCTTTCTTGCTATGTTGTCACATTTTTGCTCTGGACCACCATGTGGCTCAGAGGTATCTACAGTGGATTCCTAAAAGGTCTATTGATTTCTTCATGACATGCAGGTGATTTCACAACTCTTGATACCTGAAAAGGTAAGTAAAATTTAACCCTGCAGCAACACTTTCACAGTGTGCTGGTTCACCTCTTGCCAAAAGTAAAACAGGCTGAAAATATATGCTTCTGGTAAAAACTCTCCTCTGAACTTTCTAAACTCAAAAGGCACAGAAATTCTGTTATTCACACTATTTTAGAAAAAATGCAAAAATGGGGGGGGGCTAACAGCAGTAAGTCACAAATCTTGATGTTAATATCAAATGTCTTGGTATCACTCTCACTAATTTTTATGCAGACAGCAGCATGGAGGAGGTGAGTCACTAGGTGACCCACAATGGTGTCCACATGGAACTGGTGTCCAAATTTATTTCAGGAAAACAAGAGCCTCCTGCAACTAACCAAACAAAACCTGACAAGTGTTTACAGTTCAAAGAGCTGCTCTTTATAAACGACTACTACAAAGAAATGAAAATTATTCAGTAGGCACTTTGTTTATCACAAGCTGTTACTTGCAACTGGTGGCAAGGGAGAGAAGGTATCACTGTGTGAGGTGCTGGACTACCCCAGAAAGCACTTTGCCTCCTGACATGCATGAGGCATCACTTTAAACACTATTTCCCTTTTTTTCCTTAAGAGATTAATTGAATCTCCGTGAGCATTCCGTGCTCTTCATAAGCCACTCTGTAAACAGGCAGCAAGATCTTTACAACTGGGTCACAGCCCACACTATGAATCAGTAAGTGCAAGAAGTCCATGGTCTTGGACAGTAGCCCTTCTCACAAACATATTGTTACATTTGCAACTACAGACAAGAAAAAATGCTTCCCCTTGTAGCTGTACCTAGGCAGGCAACCACACAACTCTGACTCATCCCAGTTTTTCTGGCACTGCCTGGATTTGCTCCACATCTGTGAGCCTGGTTTGAGAGGTTACACGATGCTACATCTTGGGTAGGTAGTTGTTTCTTACCACTTTCCCTCAGGTATTTTATTTAAGTGCCACACTGCCACCACAGATCAAAGTGGCCAATTCACATTGCCAGTGTCACTTGGATTAAGAACTGGTGAGCAGAACTGCTCTCTCTTTTGGGGAAAAACAGAAGAAGACTGAGTTACAAGCTTCCATTTGGATTTCCCACCCTGAATAAGCACGAAACAAGGCCAGTGGACAGACCTAAAGATCATCAGAAAAATATTTTCTCTTCTTTAAAGCAGAAGAGCACCAATGACTTCCCTTTCAACAATTCAACCTAAAAAGTTCTTCTCAATTCCTAGAGCCTTCCTACCAGAGAAACTGGGTGAAAAAAACTCCACTTTTCTCAGCAGGATGTTAGACATGACTGGGATGTTTCATGAGAAGTCATTATTTGAAACCAAAAATGTGGGCAGAAAAACACATCAAAAGGAGAATGACAAAACCCAACATCAGTACCATGGAACAAGGTCAGGATACATTTAAAACAAATGCATGTACATTAAAGTTACTCTGGTCACAGAAACCACCCTAACACCGCACTGGAGAGCCACCAAGCACTAACACACCAGGATAATCCTGTTCTAATGCTTCCAACCCAAATGGGATTGCACTCGTGGCCCTTCCATGTTTCTTACAGCTTTTCCTGGATGTTCCTACTGGATCCAGGAATGTGCTGGGCAGCACACTGCAGTAAAGCACTCAGAGGCAGCAACTTGGATTATACAGATAATCCACACAGATGAGGCAGTTCAGATACAAGGGGTTTGATACAAGTGCAATCCTGCACCCCAAATTTATCCACATCTTTTCCAGGCTGTGACTGAGAATCTTTGGGAAAGCTCAGTGGAAATCAGCAGGTCTGAGGTATACTGGAGGACTCATTGCTGGACACTACAGAGCAAGGCATTCTTTCAAATGTAAATGGACAAAACACGTCAGGGAAATGTCAAAAAAAAAAAAAGAAAAAAAAAAAAGAAAAAAAAGAATATGAAAATTTGGGCCTCCTTACCCGTCATACAGTCTTTGTTCTGTGTCAAGGGGTTCTATTTGCTTCCTTCACTGGCACAAACAAAATTATTCCCATTAGCCCCAAGGAGAGGTGACAGCTAGCTACGGAAGCGAGAGATGGATTCTGTTCTGTATCACACAAAATCAACAAAAGAGTCAAATGTGTTCTAGCTCAACAACTGGCTGCATTTTCATTTTTTTATATATATTTGCAATGACAATGTGATAAAAGAATGTGGCGTGAATCCCATGTCAGATGGCTGGGAGAAGTCCCAGGCATGAAACTGGGGAGTTTATTTGGTGAATTTTATTGAAAATATTATAAAAGAAGCTGAAATGTCAATTTTGTAGAATTACCTTTTCACATCTGCCTGTCATAGCTTCTGAAAGGCCCTATCCATTTACGTTAGGGAGATTTAAACTAAAAGAAAATGTTTTCCTTCAGCAGAGATGCTGATTACTTGAGACAAGACTAAAGGAACAAAGCCATTACATAACTTTCCTCCTCTATTTTTGATTTGGCATAGGCAGTTCACAAGAATATTTCCAACTTAATACCCTTAATAAATTTTGAATCAGGCTCTGACTTGAGAAAAAAGCAGAGCTATTTTAATTACAGTATATATAATACATATAAAATTGAAAAATAACTAAAATGTCATTAGCTGAAAAATCTGGCATTTTTCATCCACTTTGCAAGAGCACAGAGGCTGCAAACACACAGACTCATTTAAAAAATTATGCTGCAACTCTCCCATACTTGTTAAAGAATACTACTGCTAAATTTTCTTTTGTCCATTTACGAATTTGAAAACAACAACAAAAAATCTCTTAATCTTTGTCAAAAAGGACAACAAAGAAGGAATTGGATGAAATATAAATTAAAGTACTGGTTCTGGAAACAAAATATTTAATCACAATACATAAAACTATTTAAAGTAAAATTAAAATAATTTTAAAGTTAAAAACTAAAAGTGCGTCAATATTTTTTTTAAAAGGGACACTTTTCACTGTACAAAATAATAAAACTATAATCTATGCATGAAAATGTAGGTATCTGATATCACAGAATGGTTTGGGCTGGAAGGGACCTTCAAGACCATCTCATTCCAACCCCCTGCCATGGGCAGAGACACCTTCCACTAGACCAAGTTGCTCCAAGTCTCATCCAACCTGACTCTGAATATTTTCAATGATGGGGCAAGGGTGTATATCATAGGAGGAAGCTATCCAAGTAATGCAATAAATTTATTGTACTGTTTTGATAATGCTATACTACTTCAGGAAAAAAAAATCTAAAACATTTCTCTGCTATTCCCCAGTGATATAAATAAAAAACAAAGCTGTCATGACTTTATGTGGCTGAAATAATACAGAATGGTTTCACCTTGCCTATGAAGCCAGCAGAGGGTCTAACACCAATTGCAGGTGAAGAATCAGGAGATTCATCATAGGAATTACATTCACTCTCATGCTATGTCTAATGAGATAAGCCCATCAATACCCTGCACATTCATTGTAAGTACCATAAAACCCCTCTTTCTTGTTAGAATCTCAGAATGGTTTGGGTTGGAAGGGACCTTAAAGCTCATCTTGTTCCACTCCCTGCCATGGGCAGGGACACCTTCCACTAGCCCAGGTTGCTCCAAGCCCCATCCAACCTGGCCTTGGACACTTCCAGGGATGGGGCAGCCACAGCTTCTCTGGGCAACCTGTGCCAGGGCCTCCCCACCCTCACAGGGAAGGATTTCTTCCCAGTATCCCATCTAACCCTGCCCTGCTTCAGCTTAAGGCCATTCCCCCTTGTCGCATACGCATCTTCAGCAGTAAAATGAACAGCAAAGAAACCAATTGCTGAGTGTCTCACCTCGCTATCTTGTCACTGCAGGACATGGTCAGCAGCCTTTCTCCTTGCAACACACCATCCCACGTCTGGATAGTGGTACTGGAGCGCACAGGGATGGTCCCTTCCCCAGATTCTATTTTTGTCCGCAGCTGTCCTCTGGCTTTGCGGTTTGGGTGCCTGTCCCCTTGATCTGAAGGACAAAAATCACTTAGAGTCAGCTGAGGAACATTCTCCAAGGGTTTTACAGACAGAATGACAGTAAGAAGAATCGATTTGAGGTATTTGTCTGCAGTTACTGCTCGCTTGCATCATAGTTCCTACCGCTCTTGGCAAATCAGCTACAGCATCAGACATCTCCCACAAATACTGCCTTCTAGGACACACTTGCAGTTAAACCAAGCTTTTGCTACGGGAGCAGTAGGCAGCAGGCAGCTCTTCAGCTCTGCCCTGTGTGTTACAGCATTAAAATGAAGTTACAGGGCAGACCGTGGAAGGGGCACGCAGAGAACCGCTGTTAAAGGACAGAAACAGGGAAACAGGGATGGTTAATTCTGTAGGAATACTTGCTGACTCACTGGCTTATCTCAGTTAGCATCAGCCTCTTCAAGACCACAGGGTTCATCACTCTATACTGAACTTCTACCACAGAGGAAGAACAGCTCAGATTTTTTTGGAAGAGATCTTTGTCTAACACACCTCTATGCTAAAAGGAAAGAAGACACCTAAATTTTAACCATGCCACTGGTACATGCTCCACGAATAATTTAAGCTCCCTGGGGTTGAGGAGGACTGCTGTCATACCCTCTTGTGCTGCTTCGTGGGGGGAGAAAATCCGAGCATCACCACAAGGAGATGTGCTGATATAGAGATGGAACTGCACATTCTCCTTCAGCTTAAACCCGCCTTGCTCTGATCTGATAAAAATGGATTTTTGCTGATCTTCTTTATTGCTGAAACAGAGAAGAAAGGTAGAGTCAAAACTGACGTTAACATGGAAATAGCCACAAGCTGTGCAGTCTTAACGGGCATTAAAAACAAACACAGGATGGCTGAAAATTTTATAATATTAATCTAACAGTTATTACAATTAACAAAATTAAAGGACCATCAAGACACGAAACATCTCCAGATGTCAAGAGCTTTCAGGCACTTACCAGCAAATGAAACACCAGCACCTTTTAGCCCACTTGATATTATTTTGATTTATATGTCTGCAGTTTACAGAATGATTCCCAATTATTTTTCCTGTCCTCCCCCTTCATGAGAGACACCTCACTGAATAAATGTTTTGTTCAAGTCAAACTTGAGGGCAAAGGGCCCGAGTTCTAAATTCAACATCCTAATGCAACAGGACAAGAGTTTCACATTGAAATAATGAAGACACGTGTTTTACATGGACAGATTTTCAGCTCTGTGGTATCAGCTCATCTTCCTTTTCCCTCCAGCTTACCTTAGGTAAAGCTCAAGTTGTGTATACAGAAACTTCAGCAGGCACCGTCGAGCTACAATTTCCGCGTGGCAATCATTTAATGCAAGACCACGATCACTCATGTATTCACCATTGATACATTTTGTTCCTGTAGAAACACTTATTACAAGGGCATCTTTCACATCTGTACCTGCCAAACAAAATTTCAGGAAGAAGACGCAATTAACATCACAAATAATTTACTGAGTGATCTTCTTGCTGAACCCAAAGAAGGCTCTTTTTTTTGGTGCTGTTTGCTTATTTAAAAAAAAAAAGTTTTTTTTTCTTCCAATATTTTCTTTAAAACAAAAGCTTCAGTCAGCCATATCCTCCCTGTACCAGCACAGTCTCTGGTTCTCATGAGCTCTTCATGTTGGAGTTTAGACAAGTTAAAAATTGAAAACCTGCAGGGAAAAAATGCTGCTTCAGGAAGAGTTATTAAAGCTTGAGACCCAAAGTGGTTTTTTTCCTGAGGTTCAGGCAGCCAGCAACTTTCAGCATGTACCTTCTGACCACCTATGCAGACATTGACAGTGACTTTAGAAATCTGAAAGGCACTGGTTTATTAAGGCAGCAGCACATTACAGTAGGGTATTGAACTAACAACAAGGAAGGTAAGACTAGGGAATGAAGAAATTTAAATGCTTAAATCACTGTAAAGATTACCAGCAGTATAATGTGTAGTTCTTGGTATTAAACCATCCCATACAACATAACTTAAAAAAATACATTAGGTGGGTGTTTTCTATACAGAGAACTGCCTTTATCACTCAAAAAAATCCCAGCTGCATGAAGGACTCAAAAAGACAGGTCAAAATGCCACCTAGCAAGACACTCGGGGAAAAAAAAGCCCAACAAATTAAAAAAATGAACCTGAGCCCAGCTGGCCCCTCCTGCCCAAAGGGCTGGAGGAGAAGCAAGGAGCTGCAACACACAGCTATGCAATGGAGTCATCTAATTCCAGAGGTTTCCCAGACATATATCCATGCAAAGATGTTTTCTAATTCTGTGTAAAGCTATTTCTTCAGGTAATCAAAAGGTATTCACGTGTTAATTAAGTCTTGATTCTTTGGCACATGGCTCTTCTGAGAATTGCAGATACAGGGCTGTAATTATATAAAAACCTTTTAAATGCCACAAAATACATTGAACAAAACGACACCATGTTCCTCACAAGTGCTTTGTATTTGGGGCTTAAACGGTGTTTGTACCAGACGGAGGTTTGGCTATTCCTGAGCAGTGCTTGAGGAGCATCAAGGCTTTCCAAACCTGCCAAGGGCCCGTGTGCTGGGGGTGGGCAAGAGACCAGGAGGGGACACGGCTGGGACAGCCTTGTGAGAGGCTCAAAATGAATGTCCCAACAAGGGTTAAGATGGATTGAAGACCAAGATCAACCTTAGCACAAGGAAAATCCAGCAGCAGTGTGGTTGTAGATCAGTTTAGGGCAGAACTTCACTGTTTTGGGAGATTTGGACAAGCACAGATCTCGTGTCAGCAACCAGAGAACCACAACACCACTGCTTACACGTGCACACCACTGCCATCTGCCAAAACGTAAGCTGCTTTCTTCAGATATTTTTACTAAAATGACTCACATCAAGCACTAAGAATAAAATACAGCAAGAATAACCAAGTCCAAAATATTAAAAACTTGGAAAGAAGCATAATTCTTACATAATAGGCCCAAACCAAGAATGCAATCTGCATGACTGATGGGGGGGGGAACTTATTTATTTTCAGAAGGTTTTGTGATTCATTTTAAAAGCTACATTTTGTACACCGTGGGCTACTCAGATGTCTCAATCAGGCAGGAAACTGGAACTCTGTGGAAACAGAAGTATTTGCAGGTCTAACTTTCCTGTAAATATCCTTAGTTGAGATTTATTTACTATATTTAGTCCACCTTCAAGATTAAACAGTAAAAATATATTTCAATACCGCTTGACTGAAAAAAGGTAGTTTACTAGAATGCAAACAGAGCTCTTGTATTTAAGCAGTTAAAATACTACTTTTTTTTTTTTTAATTTACCTGTTGTCATGACAATTCCAGCAAGAACTTTTCGACGTGCATGCGGAGATGTGAAATTTTCAGTCAAATCACTGAATTTATCTACAACCAAGCGTGCAACAGCATCAGCTAAAACCTGTGGGATCACAAAGAAATGCATATTAGAAAAAAAAATATTAAAAATAAAAATTACAGGAGCAATGTTATAAAAATTTACAGTTTGAAGATATTATACATAATAAATGAAACAAGTTTTTAATTTTTCACTTTAAAAATTGACATTGAGGCATCACTCGCAGCTCTCTGCAAGTAGAAGCAGAGGTATGTGTGCTCCACATCTACTAAAACAGGGTTAGACAGCCCTAAGCCAAGCATCAAAGTACCTAATGCTCATGATGGTGAGGAACATTTGAGGCTTGGGAGAACAACTAGATAGACAGATAAGTCTATACTCTCATGCTCAAATCTCAAAATGCATCATTTCAGTATCCTTAACATTGGACCTGACAAGAAGATTGAAGTAAAAAAATCCAGGCCCTTCAAACCAACCTTTTATAACAATCTAATTCCTTATCTAGCTGTTACATAAATAAGGACAATTTTGCTTTCAACACTGGTTCAACACTTTCTATTTCTTATTTTTACAAGATGTATACAAAGGTAGGAATAGAAAATTTAACCCCAAGTAAGCTATCTCAAAATTAGGAAGGATTTCTCTTTTTCACCCCCAGGAAAACTTGAACAGTCACATTTGCAGCCTTATCAGTCAGGCTGTAAGGGGGATAAACTTGGAAAATTAAGGAAAACTTCAAACTACCAGTCCTGATCCTGTTGAATGACAATTCAGTTCAACACTGCAGCTCATCGTACCTGCTGTTTTCGAGGCTTGAACTTGTAAGCTGAACTTTTACAACGTGAACTGTAACAGCTAGAAAAGATGAGTCGAGACCAAATTGTCGGATTTTCACGTGAAAAGAAACTGAAGCCAAGGCAACCATGTGCTGACAACCAGCAGCACCTGAGATGTTCTGGGGTACACACCTGGCCCACAGGTTCACACACCACAAGGACACAGGTCCTGTGTCACACCTGCCAGTGCCATACAGATGTTGAGTGAGGCCCTGGCACAGGTTGCCCAGAGAAGCTGTGGCTGCCCCATCCCTGGAAGTGTCCAAGGCCAGGTTGGACGGGGCTTGGAGCAACCTGGGCTAGTGGAAGGTGTCCCTGCCCATGGCAGGGGGTTGGAATGAGATGAGCTTTATGGCCCCTTCCAACCCAAACCCTTCTGGGATTCTGTGATACAGATGTCTTGAATACCCAAGCATCCAACGTGGTGCTAAACACACATGTAAGCAAATATGTCAAGCCCAAAAGGACACTTGTTGATGAGTGTCATCTGCTTGCACACTTGTTTTGGGCTCTCAGGAATGGAACATCATCACCACCATCACCCTTCCAGAGAGCCCAGGGCAAATCAACACGGCTGATGGGCAGCAGTATAGAGAGACTGGGCACCCAGCTGAAAAAGGCACAAACTCTTGAATACAATCAGTTCTAAAAACAGACTGCTAGGGAAGAAAGGGAAAAGAGAAGGGGAAAAGAGAAGGGGAAGAGAGAAAGAAGGGGAAGAGAGAAGGGAAAGAGAGGAGGGAAAGAGAGGAGGGAAAGAGAGAAGGGGAAAAGAAAGGGAAAAGAAGGGGGAAAAGAAGAGAAAAAAAAAAAAAGAAAAATGTTTGAAGACTGCCAGCTCCATTCACCCTCATTTCCTTAACAAGGCTCATGAGAACCAACAGCCTAGAAATAACGTGGAGATGCTCTCAATGTTAACTTCCTTCTGGAAAAGGTTTAGCAGCCAAGGAAGGAATAACTAAAGCTCATGTGTCATGATTCCAGAGCTCGACAGCTTTTTCCAGAGTCTGCCAGGAGACACTGACCAGCAGTCAGGTCACATCTGCGCCAGCCTTGGTCCATGTTTTGCGATTGCACAACTTGTGGAGTCAGAAGACTCTTGATATGGCAAACACCAATTTTCTTGATGCATTTGAATGGATTGCAACTGAGAAACTTACTGTATTTTTCAGGAACACAATTTTTCTCAGAGGCTATGAACATGTCTGGTCAGGCACTGATTTTCAGACTAGGCCTTTTTGTTGCAGGACCCAAAACTGGGTTCAAGTCCATGCTCTGACAGCACAACAACCATACACTAAATCTGCATTTAATTGTGCTAGTACTTACTGAATACAGAAAGCTGAACTTTAAGGTAAATACACGAAACAGAAAGCAAATAATTATGGGGGGTTTTTAGTCACTCTGGTTTTAGAAATGGAAAATTAAACCACAAAAGTCTTAAATTATTACTAACCTCCCTGCAGCCTTGTGGGCAGATCGCTGCAGGGTCAAGGCACTGAGTCCCCATGCCACTGTTTTATCCATGACCTCACTGCACAATTATGGATACTGCTTCCCAGCTGCAAGTTTTATGCTCTCATTTCTGTAATCCATATATTTTCTGCTCTACCTTACACCGTGAAGTGCTGGACAAGAGAACATGGCTGGCAGCTGACAAACTACCAGGCAATGGTAAAATCACACTGAATGACATGGTGATGGAATATCCTGGGGAAACAAGCTGTTCTAAATAGGGATGGACCTGATCCACAAAGAGAATATATGCTTCAGGTCCCTTCCAACCCAAACTATTCTATGATTTCATGCTTCAGAGAGGCTTCAAATCTGCCAGAAAGGCTTGCCACCCAGAAAATAAACAACATAATTCACCTTTTCTCAGGAAAAAAAAAAAAGTGAGTGTGATGAGTGGTAACTGATGGAGTCTTTCCCAAAGCTGGGAACTGAAACTGCCAGGTGTTTCTGGGAAGAAACTAATATCTGCCAATACCTCTGACAAAAGGCTACCTAACAGCAGCTGGGTAGGATGCTGGCATACAGGGTGGATACATTTGCTTTTTTCCAAAAGGATGCTTTTTTTCACATAACAAGCAAAGCAGTGGAAACTGTAGCATTGGTAGACAAATGAGAACACGGTGAGTCCCTCTGGGATGATGGAAGCTGGTGCAGCAGAACGGGATGGGGCTGCAGCCTGGAACTAAGCTGCTGGCAAGGAAACCTAAAACCACTTGGATGAACACAGAACCAAACACTGTGGAGGGCTGATAAAAAGGACTAGACAGAACTCAAGTGAGACAAAATGACCACTGGAGATGCAAACGATCCAGAGGAACTGGAGGGGAGGAGGGGGGGGAGGAAATCACTGCCAAAACCCAGGTAGGTATATTAAAGATTTTTTATTTCAATTTGATACTCAAATTGTGTGACAACAGCTGGGTGGTGAGGAATAAACACTGTTAAATGCCTATAGATGTAGTCACTGAAGTCACTTCGGTCTTTTATAAGAATACTTACCCAATAAATTAGAAGAATTATCCTTCTGTCCCAGAAGGATTGACATAGTTAAGAGCATGAAAGAGATGGGAACAAGGCTGGCGATGAACAGACCAGTGCAGTGCTGGGAACAAAATTTACTGGCCAAAAAAGGATGTCCTTGCTGTCCCCATCTGAAAACCAAGGACTTGAAGCTGTTTCCAAAATCCCAGGCCTGGGGAAGGATCTTTCACATCTCACTCTGACTCTAATGCCTTTCATGTAAATAAATATTAATCAGAACAGAAACTGAACTCGTGTCTCACCTTCCCCACGAATGCCCTAACATCTCATACAGAGTTTCTCTATCCCTGCTCCTGCATTAAATCATTATTCAAAGTTGGATAATTCAAAAAAGGAAAGACCTAAAATATCTGACAGTTGGCTCGGCAAGGCATGTGAGCTCCAAGATATTTTGGGTGCATTGTCCTTTTCTCTGATGAAGTTACAGTGAATCCACTCCTTTTCTACACGCACAGACTGGTTTTGGCAATACACAACTTGCAGCAGTGTTGTACCAGAATCACCCTGACCATCCATATTTGAAGATATCCTTAAGCTGATGAAGTCCAGGTCCACCTGGAGCTGGAGGAAGACCATGGCAGGTCATGGAGACCATCCATGCTGAATGCTGGTGATGACTTGCATGGTGGAATCAAAGGCAGCAGGAGAAGGGAACTGCCTGGGCTGAGAGCACACAGCTCTCCCCAGGGAACTGACCCAAGACTTCTGTGCTCTCCTTGGATCTCCAGGGATCCTTCTCAAGCAGAAATGTTCTCCCTCATGTTGTTTTTTTTTCCTTACCTTCACAGTTTAGGGCTTATGTGAACTTTCCACAGCAGGTAAAATCAAGGTCAGCCAGGTCCTCCACTCTAACAAAGACCAGCACACTCAATTCAGAGAAGATAGAAACATATCTACGCTAATAAAACAGGGTAATTGTTTTATAATGCTCCAAACTTTCCTGTATTGATTTAAAGAAAATTCTGCCTGGCTGTAGAGTCTCTCACTGCTTATGCTGATACATCTTTTACATTTCTTCCAATTCCACAGCAACTATTAAAAGGATTAAAAAAGCACTTCAAGTACCAGTAGCCCTTGCAGTAATGGTTCTCACTCCATTTCTCCCGCTTAACGTTTTCTTTCAATGTTTGTCCACAACAATATAAAGGATAAAATGAATAAATGCAGTTAGGTGAACGATTAAAAATACTCTCTCTAGTGGAGTTTTTTTCAAATTTATCTCATCTGCAGCTACACTGCTTACTTGTGTAGCTCAGCTTGCTTTCCCTCACAACAGTCTGTATTTAACTCTGTATTTAAGCCTCAATATTTACAATTCCAATTCCCACCTCTCTGCACAACCTGACTAATCAGCTATCTTTTTAAGCAAGCAGTTTGAGGAAATCTGGGAAATAGTATTAGGAAAACCTCCATATAAGCTTTCTAACAGAGGCCATCAGTGGCCTAAAGAGGTGATAGCTCCACCAGTAGGCTCCCATCATCTGATGGAAAACACTCCCCTGCGTGATGCCAGCAGCCTGGACTGGCTGGGGAATTACCACTACCAATATGTTCTTTTCTCAGTTTTTTTCCAAAGCATTTGGTGCTGGTCTGAGTCTTTTAGGGACAGCACTATCCCACCTTTGACAGAGGTGTGAGACCCTTCCCAGCCTTCCTTGGGGAGCAGGGAGTGTCTAAGGAAAAAGAAACAAAGGAGAGAAAGCAAGTGGTCTCTGGGAGACTTCTCTCAGGATGATAAAGACATCAAAAATGAAGAAATAAGGAATTCTGAGGGAGCATCCACTGCTCCTGAGATGTCCATGGACATCCTTGTCCCATCTCTTGAGATGTCCAAGGCGATGCTCAACAGCAGGATCAGCTCTGTGAGTGGAGATAGTCTCAGCCAGCACCAGCATCTCCTGCAAACCTCACACTTCCCAGTGCTGGGCCTGATGGCAGGGATGTGGCAGAGGGGACGGGACGTGTGAGAAGGAGCTTTTGCCTGGCCCAGTATGGCTCTTGCTGTGGTTGAGTGCTCAACAATAATCTTTGTCCCAGAAACCAGATTTCGCTGTCTTCTCCAGTTCTCATCAACTGCTAAGTCTGCAAACAAGCCATGCACTTAAACTTCTTAATGGTACTAATCTAAGAATGCTGAAATAACCAGTTTTCTTCTGTGGAAAAGAATGAAACTTGGAGGAAACATTTTAGAGCCCTTGGTATATCCTGTGGCTCCTTGCATTGAGGAGTGGGAGGTAATGTGAGGGTGGTTGTTGAGGGGGGGGGATTCTTCCCCTCTACTCTGCTCTTGTGAGACACCCCCTCATTGCTGCATCCAGTTCTGGGGCCCCCAACAAAAAAACAGACAGGTACCTATTGGATTGAGTCCAGAGGAGGCCATGGAGATGCTCCAAGAGCTGGAACCCCTCTGCTCTGGAGACGGACTAAGGGAGCCAGAGTTGTTCAGCCTGGAGAAGGCTCCAGCAAGACCTTAGAGCCCCTTCCGGTGCCTAAAGGGGCTCTGAGAGAGCTGGAAAGGGACTTTGGACAAGGGCATGGAGTGACAGGACAGGAGGGAAGGGCTTCCCACTGACAGAGGTGGGGTTAGATGGGATAGTGGGAAGAAATCCTTCCCTGTGAGGGTGGGGAGTGAGGCCCTGGCACAGGTTGCCCAGAGAAGCTGTGGCTGCCCCATCCCTGGAAGTGTCCAAGGCCAGGCTGGATGGGGCTTGGAGCAACCTGGGCTAGTGGAAGGTGTCCCTGCCCTTCCAACCCAAGCCATTCTGTGATTCTATGATTTTATGATCAATTCACAGAGCAGAGCTAACCATAAAAATATTTTCCTTGCTTTGAAGAGGCAAGTCTCTCTAATTGCAAGTCTGACAACCTCTTCAATCCTAACACACCCACTGCCAAGGTGATAAATGACGAGTGCTGATTTTTTCAGTGGGGCATTTTTACCCACTGTGAGGCACATGTTGAGTGTCTTACTGACTTTAACTCACTTTCCCAGCACAGAATTGTTCCTCACTGCAGTGAATCTTGCTTTGTCCCTCACAAAAAGTCAGGCTGGGAGCAAGCAGACAAGCTTAAATTAAAATCACAGCATCAGCACCTCAGTAACTCCCTGTACAGATTATACCTACTGTAAGATTATACCTACTCCCATGCCATAACCTGGTTTTTGATTGCAACTGCCCTTGTGTACCATTTGATACCTTGTATTTCTGCATTTAATTTCCCTTGGGGCCCCTGCAGTTACCAGGAGGTCTGGTGGGATCACAGATGTGCATTTCAGCCATACCCCTGACCGCCCCTGTCACAGGGATCATCTTTCCTCTTGACACTTCTCACTTCATCCACTTTTCTCACCACAAACGAACACCTCAACTTACAAGCAGGTTTGGAACCTGCCACCCAGGCAGTCAGTTCCAACACCTTCATCAGCACAACCACACTGTACTTCTATTATTTCCCCTAAGCATTTGGTATTTGAATTTTTCCTCCCTTGCATGTTTCTAGTTTCCATTTTTCCAACCCAATCAACGTTTTTTATTTGGTCCATGGCCTACAACAAATCGTATCCTCATTCACATCATTCCTGTACTCTCTAACTTCCCCCACTTTAGGAGTATCTCTGAATTTAACACTCTTTTACACAGTAAAAGAGTCTAAAAACAACTCACAGACTTTAAAAAAAATGAATAAATAAGGCAGGACTTGAAAACACCACAAATGCTTAAATAATCAAATACATACCAGATGAAAATCACTAATATGTAGCAGACCTGATATAATTCCAGTAACTCAGTGGCTAATTATAATTAAAATCAAAGCAATACAACATAGTGAAGTGCAGAACGGATGATATCTTGACAACAAGCTGATCAAAAGCCCCTGAATGAAAAAATGAAATCAGTTCTACATTAGGCAGCACCCATGTAGATCTTCCCCATCTCACCGCGGGTTTTTTCACACTTCCCTATTCCAGTTTTCACCACTTTACTGATTCGAGAACTAATAACACATAAATTACTGGCAGGGAAATTTTTTTGGTGTCCGGAGTCAAATCCACTTTTAAAAGTGGAGCAGAGAATGCAGTCTGAAATTACTGAATCTACTGAAGAAATTTTAATACACAAAATACCATGACCCTGGATTCGAAAATGAAGGAAACATTAGTAACACAATAATTGTTCAACAGTGAAAAGAAAGCATATAGGAAGTTCTAAAATATGCATATTGTCCATTCATTTTGAGAAAACAACATAAAATACTTATACTCTTAGAATCATAACAAAATCTAAAACAATGTTTTTGAAAAGGTCAAGGCCTTAAAATTCTCATAATAAACAGAAAGTTTAAAAAAAGTCACAGGCAAATATTTGAATTTAGACAGGTATATATCATTAAAAAGATCCAAGAGATGCAGTAGAAAGCAGTCCAACAATCATTATCATGGTTTGACTGGGGAGAAACACAAGCAAGGAAACATGGGAGAATTATTCTTCATTAGAAAAATAAAAATTACTCCATTCTATCTATTTTAAATTTTTGGTCTATGCCTGGTATGGTTGATATTTTCCCTAGTTCATTAATTATTTGATTTAAATTCTTTCTCATGCAAGATTTACTTGCCTAAGTAACTTCCATGTGCATATTAATTAATTTGCTTAGAGCACAACCCTTCAGATGACAGCTATTGAACCACACATCGTGGATACCTGCACTCTGATTGTGTTTAGACCCTGGAAATCAGTGGCAACTGCATCAGTCTCACTTAATCTGACCTTGACTTCCATCACTCAGCTCTGTTCACACCAACAATTTCTGTTTGCAGGAGAGAAAAATTTTCTTCTCTGCTAAGAACTGTTGTATCAAATCATAATTTTACTTAAAGCAGTAATTCTGACTTGAGCTTGAATTAAGTCTTGCTGCCTGAGATGAGCAAGATGCGATTCAACCTTTCCTCAGCATAAACCATAATCCAAGCTGGCACTGCACTGGGGCTGGGGTTCTCTTACATGACATGATCAAGGCTGAAAACATCATCAACAAAGCCTCCTCTCTGTGCAAGAGAATACAAAGAGCTCATGAAATTGTCAGAAGCCATAAGTGGATAAATCACCTAATACATATATACAGACACATATATATATATGCACACACAGCTTTACAGAAGCAGAATAAACAGCTGAAATGCTGTTAGAGCTGACTCAGTATGCACGACTTGGCTCCTCTGGTCATCACCCAAAAGCTACCAACAACACCCAGAGGATTTCTCACCTGTGGCAAGTGCAACTGGAGCCCCTCGCTGGGAATAGGCTGCCGAGATGGAGTCTGGTCCAGCTGCATGTTAAACAAGGATGCCAGGGCCAACTGAGCCGCCCGAGCTTTTGCCAGCTTCTTGTTTCTTCCCGAGCCCTCAAAAGTCTGACCATCCACCGCCACAGCCATGACAAAGTTTTTGGCGTGGCTCTCTCCGCTCTCCGAGAGAAACTCGTACTTCAGCCCCGGCCGCAGCTCATTGAGGATCATGACGGGGTTCTTGCCACTGGCAGTGGGGTAGGGTGATGGCGGGGGCAGAGGCGACTGGGAAAGGCTGCTGGCCACAGCGGACGACGGCAAACCGTATTCCCCACCAGAGCTAAAGGAGCCGTCCCCGTTGGAGCCGAGGTAAAAGGAAGCATCGGAAGGGACCGGCGTTTCAAACCCGTTGAAAAGGGTGTCGGGGAAGTCCGCCTGGTCGGACGTGAAGTCCGTGTTGACCGACAGAGTCCTTCCCATTGCCAGGTGGGCTTCCGAGGCGTTTGGGAACTGGACAAAAGACCGTAGAGCCTTCTCGGCAGCGTGAAGCTTGGCTTTCTTTTTCGTTGGGCCAGATCCCTCAAACACCTGCCCATTGACTTCCACTGCCATCACGAACATGGGGGCATGGACTGGCCCCGTCTGGGAGAGGAGTTTGTACTGTAAACCAGGTTTGATCTCATTAAGTTGCATCAGGGCGTTCTTTGGAAGAACAGGGCCGGGCATTTTCTTCCTCTTCTTGGGGCGAAATTTGGAATGGCCATTGTTGCCCTCCTCCAAAGGTCTCTTCCTGCTGCTGCTGCTGCCACCGTTGGAGAGCTGTGTCCCCTCCCCGGCTCCTGTCCCACCGCTGTCTTTGGGGGGAACGTTGTCCACGTTGCGGTTTTCTTTAATGTCGGTGCTGCTCGAACCTGCGGTGCCCAGAAAGAGTAACTTACAATGCCTTCGGTGCAGGATCTTGTAAATGCAAAATTTATAGATTCCTTTATCTCTCTTTGTAACTGGTTAAGTGATGTGTGCTCACAGGTTAAATATTTTTGCAATACAACCATAGATAATAATAATAACGTAATACAATCTCAATGATTCAAGAAATAACACACTCAGTGATCTTCAAGCTACACATTTGATACAGTCACATAGCAAAAACCCACAACAGCTCTGGTTTTTTCATTTAAATTATGCTGGAACAAAACTTTTACTTATAAATTACATTTAGCCTGAAAAATGCCTTAAATCAGAAATATAAGTTATGGTAGAATATACCCATAAAACAAACAACTACCATTAATAAAATAAAAATGGATGCTTAAGACCAGAACTCGGAGACAGGTATTTAATTCTATTTTATTCTTATTTTAGTCATGTTACTTTTTTGCCTCAGTGATTTTTAGTTGCTCAAATTGAAAAATTACATAAATAAAACCTGAGCAATGAAAAATTAGGTAGCTCTTTGGTAGGTACCATGACTGAAGAGTGTTTAAATGCTTTTGTTTCTCTTTAGCTATTCCGTATTTTCCTAATTCAATTCTTTTTTTATGCCTTTCCTAAATATTCATTTCACCTCACCCCAATTTTACTCAGGAACTACAGCTGCCTGCTGCCTACAGTTGCCTGCTGTGCCACCATGACTACAAGACTACTTTATATATTTCCAGTAGACAGCCTTCTATTAAAAAAAAAACCAACTTATATTTGTCATTTACAAGCACAATCCCTTGCCAAAAATACTGCTGTCACAGAACTACAAACCCAAAAATCATTATAAAGATCCTCTCTTAAGGCTATGAGGAATAGAAGTGGGACAAAAGCTGCACATTTACAGTGATGATATTTTAATGGGGTGGGAGAAAGTCAATAACAACATAATGGTTTATTTTCAAAGTAGAAAGTTGGGGTAATGATATGTCAGAGCTATATTTAAAGAACTAAATTTGCTGTAACTTCAAAAGACCTCATTTTTACGCTGATAAAAAAACTAAAGAAATTGATTATTTGTGCTTTCTATTGGCATGTGTGAATGAAAAGGCAAATTTAGTAGGTCAAGTATTTCTAACTCTTCTGTTCCAAAACTTCAAAATATCTATATTACATCTACATTGATGCAAGGTGATAAATTTTAACTGAAATGAGAGCAAACCAAGGTGGGAGCTCTCGGAGCGACAAATTTCAGTGACGCTTTCAGTCTTCCCTAAGAATCCCCTACCATGCACACATCACTTCGCCCAGGTTACAAAGCTGATGGAATGGTTATTAAATTTTCATTTATAACATCCTCCAGCAAAAGCTTGATAGGTTACTCCTTTCGGTGCTCGAAGAGAAAGAAAAGAAGAAAAAAAAAAAAATCAAAGGAAAGAGCCAAAACAGGAACACATTTTGTTAAATCACGGCAGCACGGAGAATTGTACAGTACTGAACATGCAATTAATTCAATTAAATTTGGTCAAGAATTGAAACACTGAGTATTCTGAAGCCTTTCATTGCTAGAAATCTGCTACGTTTAATCAAGTATCTCTTGTTCAGCCACAAACATATTGCCTCAGAACGTGGGCCATGGTGTCAAAACTGTCAATACACATTGTTCATGCATATATTCTGTATATAAATACATATTTATGGTAGAGGAATCTAAGGACAAATAGAGGGAATTTTTAAATCTTTCCTTACAGTGAGTTTCTTACCTGAAGCTGTAATCTCCAAAAATTACATCTCATCAAAAACATCGTTTCTGGAACACTGCCCTTAAAGGTGGCACCAGGAATTTGTTATCAACCAACCAACATGACTTTTAGGCTGAACATAAATCACTGAGTTGACACTAATTAATGGTCTCTGGTTTTATCTTTCTTTTTATATGAAGACAACTACCAATGCCTGTGGAAACCACAGAAGGAAAACAGAAGTTGAACAGGCTCCAGTTGAACGCTAAAAAAAGAATTTTTGCATGTAAGCACGGCAGTTGGAGGAACTCCTTAATCCATCTCACAATCCAGGTAGGAGAAATGATGCCCTGACAGAGAAGGGGGACTTGTAGGGAGCAGGAAATAAGCTTGCAGGCTTACCTCGTCTGATAAGAGAAAAGGGAAGAAACTAGTCCTTGACTGAGAGCTACTGGGTTTGTTAGCTTTGGAGAGCCTGGGGGGTGGGAGACATTAGGAGAGAAAGCAAGCGGGGAGCTGGCACCCCGAGTTAAACCAAGAAACCAGGAAAGAGGCAATTTTCTACACTGTGGAGTTGATCCAAATCCAAGCAGGCGATGGAAAGAAAACAATTCCTGCGCAAACCAAAAGGACCTGTGTTTGTTTCAACCCACAGAGTCACTCGACTGCAAGAGAAAGGAACTCCTTCTCAGAGCAAGGGTGAAGATGTGCTTTCAGTCCTTTTCTTTAGCCTGTCCTGCCCAGCAGTGGTGAGGGCCTCTAATTGCCTTAGGGCTCGAGAAGATCTGACAGATTAGTCAAAATGTAGCCTGTTCGAGTCAAAGAAATCATCTCTAATCTTGTCCATATTCAGACATGGAGTAACTCCTCCAGCCCAGCCTCTCCCTGCTGCCCAGAAACAGTCTTCCCTTTTCCAGGCCCCTCGCCTTCCAGGCTCATCCTCTCCTTGTCCAGCTCCCCATCTGTGACAGGGCCACCAGCAGACCCCAGGAGAGAGTATCATTCCAAGACATACCAAGGACACAGTGGCCCTTCCCCAGAGCAGCCTTGAAACTCTGGGCTGTCCAAGAGAGCATGGCAGGGAGCCATCCGGCAAAATGCCTAATTTGCTTTTAAAGACCCCACAAACTCTTGGTATCCACAATGTCCTGCCAAAGCACTTTACAACTTCATTAGACGTTGCACGAAAACATCTCCCATTGCTTGCTTTGAACCTCCACTGCTAGTCTTAAAGCATCTATTGTTTTTTATTGGCTATTTTTTTTAATTTGATGATTTTAATATTAAACACTCCCTGCTGTGTACACTTTTACAGAGATCTCTAGCATTTCAACCTTCTCATCCCTCCTCTACGCCATAGGGCTCTAGCTGTCCCTTGTCCTGAGGTCATGACAGATGTGAATCACCACTCCTTGAACGTTCTAGGATAATTTTAAAGTCTGGCAGTCTCATTTGGAGACCGGTGATAAGTTTTGTGCTGCCAGCATCACTGCTAAAATAGGATGGGAAAATGGGAACTGTAAATGTTAAAACACTGTTAGAAAGTATAAAGCAAAAGAGAGAGCTGGCAGGAGTAAAAAAAAAAAATCTGAATTATAAAACACTCTTCTACATTCAGGAATGGATGTTCTTTATTATTCTACTTCCTTTTTGATTAAACTTTTGTGGAGGTTGACAAGTGACCATATATTAACATTGTCTTGCCTCAGGAAGGTTGCATAGTCTTGTGGATCTTCTAACAGACCCAAAAATCAAGAGGTTTACAAACAGCCTAACCCTAGGTTTTCCGTGTTCTTTTTGCCTATGCATTTTCCAGTCTTTAAATAAGTGTTCAAGGAATGAATGCTTTAGAGAGCCCTTTGAGGACCATCATGTCTGCTGTGTATTTAATGCTTTAAAGCAGCATTAGTACACTTGATGATTGAGATCCTGTTTTTCTAAACATTTATACAACCCATGATTTAAAAGTTGGACATTTTTCGTGAGGTTGGCATATTTTCTGGTCACTAAAATTAGTTGGTAGCTTCAACTGTAGATTTGACTGATGTCTGTGGAAGTTGCCTTGGTTCAAATCACAGTTGACAGTATCACACACCAGCAACTTCAGTGGGAGGAAAGTCCTTGCCCCCCAGATCTTGTTTGAGAACTTTCAAACCCAAGGACACTCAAAGCAGAAAAAAGTCACAGGAAATTTTCATGCCAGTAAAGAATGAGATCTCTCCGAGTGCATTGGTTCATTTTTGGGTTTATTCCCTGTAATTAAAAAGTGCCTCCAATTAAGATGTTTTATCCATTGGGGAACTTCCATTACCTGCTTGCTGAGAGACAGCACTCTCCTTGCTCTGTCTGATCTGGAGCACAATTAATTAAATTTAGATGACTCTTAGTTGAACTGAAAGATGATGATTGTAGCTACTCTCATTTAGTGGCCTGGGGACATTCTAAATAAATATCTTTTTTTCATTAAAAAACAGCATGCTCTCTTCTGAGCATCTTTTTGAAAAAGGAGGAAAAATTATCAAAGAGAAAGGTCAGGACAGCTACATGCTGGTGTCCCAAGTGTTCAGAGTGCTGTAGAAGTAACAGCCATGCAAAGCAACAGAAAACAAATAAAAATATTCCAAATAACCATATCTTTCCCCAAATCTCCTGTAACATCTTGGCTATAGCCAATGGATAAACGAGGAAGACCTTAAAAGCTGAAGATGGAAACACTGTGTTTTCTCAGAGATGTTAATTTAGCAACATCGCTGTCTTACGTTTCAGCTGAACCAAAACAATTTTAATTCTGGCTTCTGCAAAGGAATCCCAGTAACAAAGACTGCATATGCCCACCTTCCTTTCCTTTAAGAAACTTTTCCCCAAATGCAGTTACATAAAACAATAAAAAAATTAATAGGCAACTTCTGATATGCCACCACAATTTTAAGAGATACAAAAATAAAGAGAGATAAAAAGTTAAAAAAGCATATGTCTTCACACAAATTAAAGTGAAGAACTTAAGAATTTAAACTTTGATTTCTCCCCCTCAAGTGTGATGATTTAACACTTCAAATTCATAATGTTTGTGTGGGCACACGGGCAAAGGAAGGTCATCTTGCACTTTCTATTAACTGGGCTCAGCCAAGGGGACACAGTGATCCGACATCTTAAAACATGCTTCTGGGACACAACTGACGTTATACAAATGCATTCCATGGAAAATTTTAACAACTCAATGGAGCCAGGCTCCTGAAATGATAAAAAATTCCATGAGTGGTTTCCTGTATTGACACACTAACACGCAAAAAAACCCAGGAGCAGACAAAAATGTAGTCTTTTGCTCAGGGACAGAATGCCCCTGTAAAGACATGATATATTCCTCCAGTTCAGGAAGGCACCTTTTATTCATGCTCAGTTACACTCCTTATTGAAAAAAGGGATGTTTTATCAAAAAAATTATCTTATGTGAATTACCCAATTACACTTTACTTTTCTGAAGTCCTCCTCAGGGAGACCACTTTTAGAAATAGCTAAAGCTTCCATTTGAAGTAATTTCTTTTATACCAAGGAAAAGAAAATGTTAGCAAGCATATTCCAGTTGAGTTTGCTATTTCACTCTAAGGAGAAAAGATGCATTCTAGTTCAGACAATATTTTTTGCTTTGTTTTGGTTTTTTTGGGGGTGGAGAATGTTTGTTTGGGGTTTGTTTGACCCATCTTCTTTAGCTTGCACTAAAATTTTTCTGTAACTCCTCCAGACTGAATTACAACTCTGCTACTCCTACATTGCTGGGTTTGTTACCTTTGCCAGATGCACCCTTTAGCCACTGTCACTTAGGGGAAAAATAAGCACATTTGTTATTACACCATATGCAATCATTTACAGTCAGGCACAGCACAGCAGCAACAGAACAATTCTCTGCTTCACAAAAAAAAAAAAAAGACAGTTGAAAGGCAAATAACAGTGCAAATATTCTGTAATGTTTTAATGAGAATGCTTTTCTCACAGGTTATCAGTTCTTCATTACAGCCCAGAGTTAGCAGTCTCACAGCACTTTGCTGCACCAAGATCATCACTATATTTGACTATTTTTGTCCTTTAAAGGCACTTTAATAATTCAGTAGCTCAGGGTTGGGACAATCAGCATCTAATAAGAATAATCACCCTATGTGAGACCCGCAGGGAGCTCTTCCAACTCCTCCTTTGCCTTTTCCTCTCTCCATTTCTGCTTTCTCTCCTTTATTTTATACTCTTCAACTCCATTCCCTTAATCTCACGCCTCACGTCTTACTGGTACTTAACCCTTAGCATGGGCACTACTGGTACCTCCCTCCTTCACTGCTGGTTCAGAACAGGGAAATATGTTGTTTGATTAGTCAGTTGTTATAAGAAAAATATAAGGTGTGAGGTATAATACAGAAGGTATAAGTAGATTAGCATATTTAAAACACTTCTAATGCAAAAGCTCCAGCTCACTCTTCTATATTGTATTTTAAAGAATTTTCATTTCTGCATCCCAAGTTCCTTTGCAGTCATCCCCGTGCTTGTGAGAAAAAGTCACCTTCAGAAACTATTAGAGAGTTTATTACTACGTAAATAAACACATCTTACTCATGTTTTCTTCATCGTCTACATCCATTGTGAAATATTTTTGCTGGTTTCTTGGCTGGCGGAGACTGCTTCTGTCTGGAAAACAGGGAGAGAGATATTTAAGCTTTAAGATACCAGCTTACAAGGCAAAGCACTAAATGTCCTTTAAAAGCAGAAGCCTGGGCCCTGGCTTTGCATTGGGATGTTTGCTTAAATCCTGATCCGAGATCCCTCCCAAAACTGAGATGGTCATCAATGACTGAAAGATACAGCCCCACATCAGGCCAGAGTGGGTAATGGAACTCTCTCTCCTACATATGGACTTTCCAATTAACTGAAACAAAAGATGATATTGCATAAAGGTTACCTGGAATTGGGGAAATAGATTTTATTCACCACAGGAACTTCCATTTCAAGAGAGACTGATCTAAAGGTGGATATAAGCACCTCACACCAAAATATGTACATACCTAGCATTTGGTTTGAAAGAAGGCAACACTTCTATCCTAATCAAAAGCAGTCATTTAAGAGTGATGGGTTTTATGGTTTGTTTTTTTTTTTTATTATGCTAGCTCAGTTTTTCCTGAAAAGTACAATAATATCAAGTACATAATATCTGTTGCTTTCTAGCTAATTGTTCCAACCTCATAATGCCATGAGCGACCCCAAAAATCACCCAGTGAGTAAATCTTTTAACAAAAGATCCCTTATAACAAGGAAAAAGTAGTGGAGCATTAATGGGCTTCACATTCTTACACTGGAGTGGATCAAATCACAGAAATTGGTCTTGTACTTGTCAGTCTGTTGAATTTTGTGCATCTGCCTCACTGCTTTTCTGAAGCATCAACTAAGCATTGTGCTTTCTCCATTCTGCATTGCAATTTATTTTTTTATCATAATGCATTCATTTTCTGCTGATTCATTACCACAACTAAATATTTGGAAAGTACCTGAAGGGAGCAAAGCACAATATAAATGCAAAATCGTTCTGTGATAATCTAGTTTCATGTAACATCTGCAAACTTTGATTCCTTTTGCTGACGATCAGATCAAACGAAGATTGAAGCCCTACTTTTAAATGCTTCTTTGAGTCAAAGTCATCAAGAAGAAGAACCATATAAATAAAACACGGTTGCTTGACAAGGCTGACACAATAAAATCCACACTAATTTTATGTAGCCAAATGCCTGCTCTGTAACAATGAATTTATTCCATTTTTCTTCCCAGCTCTGGTGGGAAAATCTAGCTTTCATTCTGCTAGACATTAAACTGCAGTCAGTTTAGCTAATAACAAAAGGCAGAACTTTGTGCTGATGTTGTTCTTCACACACAGATTGCACACTATAGTAATCCTTAACATGTAATTACCAAGTTGTCCTAGTTAGGACAGCTGAGATCAGTTCATCACGGTATGGGTGTAACCCAAAACTGTGTATTCCATAGCCTTCCATGCCATTTCCCAGAAACTGTTGTCAATAGACTATTCGCACCCTCTGCTCATAGAGCCTGACTCCTCAGGCTATAAACTAGGTGTTAATAGGCCTGTGAGATAGGAGGATGCTCTTGTCCTCACACCCTTTGTGGAACTCCCCGCCCTGAGGGAAGTACTGAGCATTCCTGCCTGGCTGGAGGATATATAATCTTGGAGTCTTGGAACATTTTTAACCACTCGTGGGATCCAGAGGAAGACTGCAGCTCATCGCTCTCAACCAGACTTAGACCACCCTCAACTGGACTCCAATCACCACTTTTGACCAGACTGCAACAGCTCTCCCACCAGCAGGTTCTTCCCCTCTCCCTTTACTTTGGACTCAAGCGGGGCCCAAGGAACACCACGTTGTTCATGCCCCAGGGTACTGGGTTATACATTTGGGTTTTGTGGGTTAAGACCAATTGTTGGTTTGTATGATTGTACTTACTGTATTATTTTAGTAAATTGTTATTCTGACTTATAATCTCTCCTTTGAGTTGAGTTCATTTCCCCTGCTGGTTAATTCTAAACCAGCACACAAGTCCAAAAAGAAATCAGACAGTCCACCCCTACTCACCATTTCAGTAGACAATTCATGCAAAGCATACAGAAGCATGCTGCAAATCCAGAGTACAGCTCTAAATGCCAAACATAATGAATTGTATTGTTCTGATTTGTTCTAACTTGGTTTTAGCTTTGGTAACATAAGAAGAAAAACATAATCCCCATAAAAACTTCCATGCAAGAATGAAAGATATGTAGGGATGCAGAAACAAGTAATACACTAATCAGACTACACTAACACACTAAAAACAATACCACTAATAATAAATACCAATAATACTACCAATAATAAATAATACTACTAATAGATAACCCTATTACAAAAAAAAATATCAGAAACTGAGAAATTAAGAATGACATTAAAAAATACATATAGATGTGTAAGTCTGCAACTTTAACATCCATGCTAAGTATTGTAATTCAGTAATTTAAAACAATGAAATCTGTTTATCATCAGCTTAAACCCTCAACAATCTTCACAGGTTACTTTTCACAGCAAGAGCCAAACAGCCATTAGTGAAAATGTAAAATGCCATTAGCAATTATTACAATAATTAATGCCACACTTCTGATGGTAGAATGAGAACTAAATATATCTCTATGTTTGTCGTCACACCACACAGTTTCACAAACAAAGCCTATATAAGCAGATATCCTGAATTTACCACCATCGCAAATGTGTATCATCATCCCAGTGCGGGGCCTGAAGGGAACATGAATCCTCTTCACTCCCCAGGCCTGTCTGCAGAAGATGTCCACTCGAGTAACTAAGAGGAATCTCCCCAAAGAGGGAGGGGAGGTGCTGAGAAAAGACACAAAACCACATTTCTGAGCACAGTGAAGCTGTTCAGATGCTCCACTAGCCAGGCAGCATCAACTCAACAAATTGCAAAACTCTGACAATTAAGAAAAGGGCAGTAAAACTCCTCGCTGATTTTGGCACCAGCAGAGCAGAACTGCAATGGGTGCAGAACTGAAATTCTTGATCTACATGTACTACTTCCCCTGAGGCTCCCAGGATCGCCTAAAACAATTCACAGAATTTACAGAACTCTTTCTGTGTTTTTAATTCAAAGACTATGCACAAAATGACTATGTAAACTTCAGCTTATTCATCAAACCTTTAGGTAAACTCTGGGTTTCACAGTGCCAAACTTTCTTCCATGCCTCTGCCACCATTCACCTTGTGCACTACAACTTCACTGGTGTGTAACAAAACACAGAATCATCCTAGAACCCTAGAGTGGTTTGGGTTGGAAGGGTCCTTAAAGCTCATCTCATTTCACCCCCTGCCATGGGCAGGGACACCTTCCAGGTTGCTCCAAGCCCTCCCCAACCTGCCCTGGGACACTTCCAGGGATGGGACATCGATAGTTTCTCTGGGCAACCTGTGCCAGGGCCTCGCCACCCTCACAGGGAAGAACTTCCATGCAGCATCTAACCTAAATCTCTTCTCTTTGAGCTTAAAGCTGTTCCCCCCCGTTCCCATTTCTGTTTTCCTGTTCGTCCTCTAAGCTAAAACACTCTTGATGACCTGAGAAGGATGCAGAACTTCCCAGAACATTTCATCCCATCTGCAGGCTACACAGCCACAGTCCTGACTACCTCACCTCAGGCTGGCAGAGTCCCTGTCTCATGACAGCAAACTGTATGAATACTCAAACTGTATGAATGCTGTGGATGCCCCAACCCTGGCAGTGTTCAAGGAGATTTTTTCCACAAAAAAGGACTCTGAGCCCAGGCTGCTAACTACAGAAAAAGTAGCCTCTTGCCAAGGCATGATTGATTACTTCTGAAAGTCATTAATGATTCACTTATCATTTCCCATTGAAGAAGGAAAAGCATTTCCAACTTCTCTGACCTTCCAAACCTTTAATAAAGCAGCAAAACTGCATTAATAAATACATTTGCTGAAAATAACCCATTTAGCGACAGATATCCAGAAACCTCTCAGGTCCTGCAGACACAAAGCCTCCACACTGAGGTCGGGTAATGGTCAGTGGCACAGGACTTCACTGAAGCTGGTATGACAGCAGGTATGACAAACCCTCAAGTTTTGTTGCTAAAATCCTGCTCTGGGATAAGGGACACAACTACAGTAACATTCTCCGAGAGTACTGGAAAAACTTTTATTTCAGAAAAAAACCCGTAAGAGTAAAGGAAGAAGGTTAACTGCTGCTCAGAGATTAACAGAACTTTCAAGAAGAGCAATGAAGAATAACTGATGTAAATATTAACTGATTCGGGTCAGTGCATTGACAGCACATTCTGTGTGGAGGAAGCCTCTCCATGGCTGCAGGAACTGTTTTCTCTCAGGTATACTGCTAAAATAAATTGAGGTTTTGACTGTACTATGCTACTGTAGTAAGTATAGGGCATTTAACATGGAGTAACAAACCTCCATCCAGCTGTTACCTAAATTCACTTGCTGAAGCCAAGGGATTCTGCACAACAGCACACCCTGCAATATTTAGACTACAAACATCTTTCCTTTTCTAGATGCATTACAAGCCAGCCACTTCAAACAGGAAAACAACATCTAAATATATGCTAATTTAAGTAGAGCCAGGAAAAAGTCCACTTTTAATTCTCTTCCGGTTTTGAAGTCTTTAATTCCTATAGAGTATTTCTAAAGATAGGAAGAACATCAGAAGTACTTAAAAATGTACCAGCTAACACAACAGTATTTACCTTTATTTCTCCAAGAGACTGCTTGAAATATTTTTAAGTAAATGTTGGCAATAGCAAGTACACCCCACATGAGGACATAGAGAGAGATAACCTACATTTCTTTTGTTCGGATATTCCAGGTATTCACTGCATACAAAAAAAGAGTTGTCAAATATCTTAAAAACAAGCTTGGTTTATCCTCATCATTGAGGGAAAACCTAAATTTACCTTGAAAGGGAAATTTAGCAGCTAACAATGTTTTACACACAGAAAATGGCATATATGCAAAAAAACCCATAACTTGAGAGATGACACAGAACTATTGGATGACAGCATATGCTAGAAACCTGCAGTTTTAGAGAAGTTTCCTATTTGTTAAAAAAGTCCTCTC